TGGTTAAACTGGCTAGTAGGTTAGACATATGCAGCAAGGTATGAGACGGAGAGAACCCCCGCCCCCCCCCCCCCGCTTTGTGTTGGTCATTGTCTCGCAGGGGGATGTGTTAAGTAACAATAGTCTGGAATGTGTATAGGGATCGAACATGTTGGGAGGTACCCCTCGGTCTCATTTCTTGCTGGGTATAAGGTTAGAAGTAACTTTGAATTGGTCAAAAAGTTTAATAGTGATCCGTCTTTTAGAGTACTTGCCATGTTGAGGGACGGTCCAGGATTATCAGAGAGGGGGTTCGAAATGTTCCCAGGACACTTCTTAAAAGGACACTAAAACCTGGATTCTGCAGAATTTAAATGCTTGAAGGACCGATCCAAGACTTGTGTTTTTTGTTCTTAATTAGTGAGACAGTGAAGGATTACAAAAAGGTCGATGTTGGAATCCTGAACCCCCTCTACCCGCCTACGTCCAACACTGGGTTGTTCTTTGCAAAAAATGCCTTTGCGTGATTATGTTAGCTGCTTTATACATATATGTACCACTTCCAAGTGTCTAAAATCAGTTCTTATCTCAGCCGTGAAAAATTGCCTATAATCTACGGTTGCCAACAACAGGAAAACAGCCCTTTAATCACAACCTGCGTGACTACAACAATGCGTTACCACTCGTTTGTTGCTCGATATGAATGGGTTCTCCCATGCGGGCCAGGAACCAAACTTCAGAAAAAAATTCAACATTCATTTTCCATGTCAGGAACGTAAATTATAACAGCAGACCCTGAACGGCATCATTCACGTTTTCAAACAAGCGTGGCTATAAAGGTGAAATCATCACAATCATTTTTTTCTTTTTGCATTGCTTCATTTTTGCTGACTCCTACAAATATCACATATACACCATTACTTAACGAAGCGTGTGGGGTTTTGTTTGCAAAAAGGCTCAGAGTATCGTAAGCCATTTTGGAAGGTGAGTTGCCTTTCACTAAAGTGGGTGTGTCCACATTTGGTGCAATAACCTCAATTTACTCAAAGGATTGGCAGCAATGCCTTAGTACACCCAAAGTATACACAGCGGTACCGGTGGTCGATTGAGTGATAATCGCGAAAAGTCTATTATAACACATGAACCTGAAGTCTGCATTTATATCTATATCCTTATTTTGAGAAAAAAATGATGTAAAGACTGCTTAGTCATTGTGTAGCCTCTACTTTGTGTTAACGAAACCACAGAGAGACTTGACTGTTCTGTGTTACATAAATGATCTGAAAAATCATTCCGTAACAATGTGACTTTTACAAAATTCTGGACAAGGCTGGATGTGTTTATAACATTTAATGGTGCAGTTCTTCACTGTTTCAGCATCACAGTTTCTATTAAGCGTAGTGCATGTCTTCCAACATTTCTTCAATTAAAAATCAAATCATGCAACCCGCCACCCGAAGCGTCAACAATCAAGCATTCAATGCAATGTGCCTACTTTCCAGCAAACCAACCAGAGCCCAATCTATACAAACTCGATGCCAACTTAAGCGATCAACAGTCCCCAACTAATTCATTCATTGCCTGTAATTCACGATTACTGTGCTACCTTACTTTTCCATATGTCTTAATTTTGAACACAGAACTTCAGAAACAAGATATTTTCCGGGTGCAGGCTTGCCTCAATACACCAGGAGAACACTTCGTCGACAAAAGCACCCATTCTATTGTTTAACACATGACCCAACAAGGTAAAACAATGTAGGAGATGTATTTTACACGACTGGATAGGAAAGATCGTTACTGCTACGCTCTGTATGTGTTCCACGCATGAAGCAATTGTGTTCTTTTTTAGCTTTTTATTAAAACTTACGAAATTAATTAAACTGTAAAAGATAACTTAGATAACCGTTGATTGACAGACAGAGTAAGTGTCTTGTCTGCCGAGTGTTTGCCTTTTGTGCGTGGTAATTGAATTGTTACTATAAATTGCTTTAAGGGCCCACAATCATAAGCTTTGCTTTTAGTTGTTACTTCCACGGGTTTCCCCGTATTTATATAGCGTTTCAAAATTGAGATTGTATGTATGTAAAACTGTGTAAATCATGAACAATGAAGAAAATTCAATCAAAAATCCCCATCGCGAAAGCATGAAGCAGCTGTGTTCTTTTCAGGTATTTATAAAAACTTAGGACATTGATTAAAATGTAAAAGAAATCGATCATGAATCCCCAACGCAAAAGCATACGTGCACTGTGATTAAGTTTACGGGTGCACCTTGCGACGGATCTCTCTTTGTGATCTGATGAGGTTTTAACAGAAATCATTAAGAGATTTCTACGAACCGGGCGTGCTACCCTGGTCAGCAATAGGAAACCCCAATAACTGACAAAAGAGATTGTATAATGTGCGTTAACCTCGAACTTACTCATGTTTCTCAGGGCTACTACAACACGTAAACCAAAATGCAATGCCTTGAAGTCACCGGGTTATCACTTTCTTTGAATAAGTGAAGACTTTTCATTTCAGCCCTACATTCACAAAACTTTCACAAAAAATGTTTTTGGAGACAGAGGGACATTTCGCTTTTTATCTGAAATCCACTCAATAGATGTTGGACTACGGCTGCACTGTTTTCCTACTGTAAAACCGACAGAAGCTCTACAAAATGCAAGACGTTGACGATTGATCAATTGTAAGATGAAAAGAAATTTGTTCCAAAGAACTATTGAGAATTGGAACAATCATAATACAAACCATAAAGAAAACGGACTAGGTGCTTACAGAGTAATTGAAAATTATTTTAAAGTGAGACTTGCGGAGACTGAGGACATACATGCACATACTTGGGCAAGAATTCAAGATCAATAAAATAAGCCCTTATTAATCTGTGGCACGAAGTATATTGACAATGAAACTCCTGTGCATGCAGCTCTGCAAACAACCGTGCAAAATATCATCGATTTTTAAAAATCATCTTAGAAAGGGGTACAGCTAAATTCCCAAAAAAATCATAAAGCTTTGCTTATAATTTACCAAGAAATGCTCAGATAGGCCCTGTTATTTATACAAATTGTTGAAAAAAGTAGGAAAACCAACTTACCTTGAGAGACTGTAGCATGGAGCACTGTGAGTAGAATGCATATTAAATGTAAGATCCCCATTGATTAATTTGAACTTGGAATCCCGGGAACAGTACGGGGAAATTTTCACTGCCCTTTTGATGCCTTGCATGTGGTCTCTACTTCACGTAATTCCCGGGAGGTGTTTCCAAAGGTATGCTTGTGTCTGCGGCAGAGTCACTTTTGGTGTCTTGTGATCAGAGAGACTTCATCGTGCCCTCTTTTGCTGAGTTACACAACAGCCTGGCCACATACAAGCCCTTTGGTAAACGGGTGACGCCTTTTTCGTCAAGCACGCCACTAGCTTTCCTATAAAAACGTGAGTGCCTGTCAACAGGAGCACGCGTTCGATCCATGTTCATTGGCTGCGTGGGCGTTGGTGCTCAATGAATTTAGTGAGGCGTGCAGACTTAAGAAATCTTTAAAAAGCTCATTAAGCTGGACATGAATGCAGGGTCGAACAACTGTCTTCGTCGGCTCCCACTTTTCATGAAAATAATTTCTAAAGACATTTTGAACGCTGTGCTGGATAGCTATCATTTTCTACTTCAGGACTTGTGACACCCTAACCAACTCGAAGATAATTGAAAAAATTGAAACAACACATCCACAAACATGGAACTCACCACCTTAGAACACAAACGTTACATTCACCATTACAACAAATTATCTTGGGACTTAAGCAAAGTTTACTCCTCTCCCACCCCGTATTCAATTACTAGATTCACCACTGGTCAGCTTTACCAATGTCAATCGGACGGCGGAGGGTTAGACTTTGTCAATCAAATGAAACAAGGTTAGGGCGCATTTTTTTCAATGCTAGTTGTCATGCCTTTTCTACCAAAGTCAAATCGTGCCAGTGAAAAAAAATTTCAGTGGTAAACTGACTCATTATTTCGAATTGCTAATTCGTTTTTTCAGATTAGTAATTCGTTATGACGGATTAGTAATCAAATTAAATAAGTTCGATTCATAAAACACTCTGCCTGCGCCATTTTCACGTGCGTGATGCCCTGTCCATAATCAGTGACGGCAGCTGGAAATTGCGTTCTGAGAACTCAGCCGTGGCCGAAATTAACAATTCGTATTAACGAATAATTAATTCGAAATAACGATTCAGCAATTCGTAATTACGAATTAGTGATTCAAAATAAATGAAGTAGTAATTCATAATGAAGAATTAATTTCCCACTGAAATTTTAATTTCATTGACACGATTGGGCTTTCGTGCTTTTCACTTAATTTTGAACATACATAGACACCAATGACATAAATATTCATTATGCGAGATGGTGACGCCCAAGAACGTAAGCAGGCTCTAGGGAATGCAACCAACCGGTATTACGAAAATGACCTGACGAGGGGAGCTCGAGTGGTACTGTGGCACCTGTGTATTGTAAGAGTCAGTGAGTTGATTAATTGTAGTCGTGGCTCGAATTGCCCTAACAACGTTGGAGATAACCAGCCCCAAATCACACAATTTGCATAAAACTAGTACAAAAGGACTAGAAACCAACCAATTCTCTGCCATAAGTTCTCTGCAAAGAGATCAAACTTCATCCTTGCCAGTAGGTCTTAGGCAACCGTCTTTCCATAGGCCTACATCCCAAATAAAATCGGTGGAACGAACCACTGCCGAGCTGTTGCTCACTGTGACGAATGCTGTAATAGTGAAATCACTGTGCGAGTTTCTTTTTAAAAAAGGACTACAGTCTCTGGCAGATTGTTTTCTAAGTCAGTTGGCACGTGTCCAGATAGAGGTTAGGCTGGTCAGGCATACAGATTACATAGCAAGTTTGTACCGATCAACATTCTTCCCTTTTCACATATAACCTGTCCATTCCCAGCTAAATAAAGTAGAGTACATGTACCTAGCTACTTGACACACAAACAGAAAAAGACTTTCATTCCCTAATACTCTTCTTTTAATAATAAAACTACCATCTACAAAGGACAGTAATTAAACCCTACTGAAGTGCTAATGTGTACAAGTTTTACAGGTTGTGTGATATAATCATTGATGTTACATGTATGTTACAATAATACATTTATAACACATTTATTTTCCAATTGTGAGTGACATTGTTTGAGGTCAACGTGAAAACGACCATCCCAAAAATGAAACCTTGCAAAATCTTTTGTTCAACGTAACAATACCACAAGTGATTTATCCCAACTGAACGAACATCAGAATCTAGTTTCCATTATGACCACCTTTCTAGGTAAAACCCGGTGTGACTTTGGCTTATATTTTTTCCAGACAAACTCGATAAAGTAGACAAGCAATGAACTGAAAATATGTCAAGGCAGCATAAAACTGTCTACTGTAAAAAATCAATATGAATGAACCTGTCATATTCACAATACAGACCAACTTATTGCCCCTTCTTCCAAAACGTACATAAATGACCTCTTTACAAATTACCTTCTTACAATTGTAAAAACAAAGCAAAAATTGACTCTAACTTAAAAAAAAAAATACACCAATCATTAAATACAGAGGCACCTTCTCAAATGAAACTCTTGGTGCATGAAGAGAATGACAATGTTTATAAAAAAAACTGCTCTTTCAACAATTCTTTTAGTTACAATAAGTGTACTTCATTAAGTTAACACATACAATTCCCAATAAGTTCATCAAGTACGCAAAACAGGCTAGATGCAAGTACCCTTTAAGCTCACGTTTCTAGCCCAAATTTGGTGACAAACCCAAACGATGTCACTTTGTAAAGATCCATCTGGCTAATAACAAATCAGGTTTTTTTTCTGACTGCAACCGTCAATCTGATAAACCTGAAAAGTCTGGTCACATTCAATCAAATCGTGCCGATCATTAATTATGATTATTTTTTTCCCTTCCATACTTTCTTACGTATTACAGTAAGTTCGTTCTTATTGTGATCCTTCACAGCAAAACAACTTACATTTGATAAAGGAGCAGTTTCAGAGATGAATGCTCATTCCTAACTTCACAAATTTAAGACCTTTTTGATTCAGCATACGTGCAACCGTACATGTACATGTACATGTACACTTATAAAAATGCCTTCTCAATAAATAGCAGTGGAGTCTGTCTCTTCTGCAGCAAATTAAAGTGTTCCACAACTGGGTGATCAAAAAATTGAAGACTTAACAAATGTAATCGGAAATAAATGAATACATTATTAGATATATTTAATTTTTAGGATAGTCAAAAAACAAACAAAAAACCCCAAAGGTTCAAATCTAAGATGCAAGACCAAATCCCGTTTGGGAGGATTTGATTTTAAGTAAAACTTACTCCATTTTCTCCAGATGCTTTGGTAGTTTTCAGTAATATTGCCAAAAGCTCATGCTATTTTTAATACAAGTGAGATCTGCCAAATTGTCGCTTGTTAGACAACAGTATTGTTAAATACTAACTTACGAGGAAACAACATAACATATCTAAGTTGTACACTAGCATACTCTTACAGATAGAATGACCTACAAATACATATACATGCTAAAGTTAATGCGACATCTGGATTTTGACTCGGCTCAAAACTATTTTCTTCATCAATTTTTAGAACAATTTTTTTCCATGAATTTTCAAACTTACGCTCAGTTGCAGAAAGGATGAACCCATTCAGCACATTCAAGGTTCAGCCAACTTATGAATGCAGTTCTCTTATTATCTGTCAGAATGACACAATACCAAAGTGAGTTTTGGAAACACGGAGTGACAAAAGGATACGGTCATGTGATTCTAGGGATTGGTGTTTTTAAGATAAGCATATTGAGAAAGGTTTGAAAGTTCGATCCACTCTCATGAAATCCCACTTGTGCAAAAGGTCAACACACCGACGGTGAGTACACTGGATATGCTGGGTACGTCTAATGATCATATTTTTGTGGGGGAGGGGGTTATGGGCTCTTCCTACTGATGAAATACTGCAGAACAGTAGGGGGTGTTGTGAACATTTCAAAGACTTGGAACATGATCCTTTCAAGTTTGAAGGGAAAAATATTCCATACACAGACACCACTAATTTTTCCCTGCAGTGACCTATATGTACTAGCCATATGACAATTGATAAATGTCCTAAAAAGTTAATTTTAGCAGTGAAAAAAATTAGGTATTCACTTCAAAAACAGAGACTTTTTCAGACCAGTCTCGTAGGGTTTGTGCACAGGGTGTCAAGCAGCGCCCGTATATAGAATTCTTTCCATACAAAGTTGCCCCTTTCACATTCCGTACTGACAACTGAAGCCACTTCCGGTGGCAACTACGGTGGATCTGCTGCACAGTCATGTCACATAAATGAAGTCACTAGATGGTGCGAACAGCAGGGGCCCTAGAAGGTAATCTCTCATGCTTAGCATCCAGACACACCAGATGGTGCATGAAATATCCCTTCACAATGCACTCTCACTAAGAGCCTTTGTTAAGACCTGTCCATGAAGGAGATACTGTGGGCATGTGGGGAAACCATGAGGTCACCCAAAACTGGTGTGAGCGTCACACAGATATCAATGTTGGTTATGCAAGCACTCCCATTTGCATTGGCTGGAGAGTGTAGAGGCATTTTCCCATTGTCCATTATTAACTGATAATTCATAACAATCAATGGATGAGGAGAGCCCCAGCTGAAGCACATAGGCCATCAAAAGAAGACAGGCAGGCGACCTTGCAAATTTTTCATACTGTTTCCCTACAGAATAAGCCAGGCTAAACACTAGATTACTTTTTACATGTACACGCGTGATTTCAGAAATACATGTTTGGGCAAAAAGAGGCTCTATATGGATAATGCGCAATGTGACTATGGCATATGCTATGTCTGCAGTTTTTAAACCAGAGGTAGCTTTCTCGTGTTTTTTTTTCCGTATCACTGGTAACTTAGTAAATGTGGAGATTCCTGGTGAGTGTGCAGACTTGAAGATGTTGAAATTTACTAACTGGGATTATATGTACATGTAGCTTTAGAAGACATTCCAAAATCCTTTGAAAAAGTTTGGAGAGAAAGGTTATTTGTTTAAGCACTTCTCTGGTGAAATATTTAAGAAAAACCCACACTATGAAATTTCTAAATTACAGTGGGAGTAAAAGTTATGCCCAGATGAAAAAAATGAGCAATTAAGTTCAAAGCTTGGTGATTTTGCAACATGATGCACAAGCAAGTTCAAGTGGACACATTATGCTTGCATTCGGTTAAAAATACTGAGTTACAAATATCTGGGGGTGAAATGCACATTTAAGCCCTCCTTTGCTGAATTTCTTTTCCATGGAAGCCGTTTCCCTTCCAAATTCTTTCTGCTCAAACACAGGAATTTCTTTAATTAGCTTCTTGCGAGATGCACATACACAACTCCATCAACTCTTGCTGTCAACAAGTGGACTGTGAAACTTGTCATCACATCCAGTAAGGTGGGAGCCCTATTGAGAGATCCCAAAGAGAGATCCTACTCCAAACTGTTGGCTGACTGAGTGGCAACCACAAATGGATGTTTAGCCCTCTTGTGGCGAGCCAGGTCTGAGGTGCGACTGGTTCGGTAGCTACACTGGTTGCACCGCAACTTGGTCCGACTGTCGTGCCGGTCGTGGATGTGGCGCACCAGGGAATTGGCATTGTCGTACATCCGGCCACACTCTTTACACTGATACATCACCTTCATCATCTTCTTTTCTGTCTGGTTCTGGACATTCTCGCTGACTGTTGTCTGTACGGTTTCAGAATCGGAGTGTGCGACTGCCCCAACGCTCTGAAAGAGAAATAGCATGGGCATTGTGGATCAGACCAGTGGGGACATGTATCAGGCAAAATGCTTCTAGGTCATGACCAATTGATGCAATAGCAAAAACCCACTCACAAACCGACAAAATTAAAGAAGCATGTTTTTCACAAAGCACATAAACTGGTCTTCATGATAGTTGTCATTAAAATTTATTTAGTTTTATTTTTAGAGGGTGCTCTAGGTTATTTCATTTTATAGAGCTGACATGCATTAAAATTGAAAATACAGGAAATATTTCCTGCAGCATACATATAGCTTTTCTGTTCGATGTCATGGATAATTTTAAGCAGCGTTGTGATCCAAAACTTTGATTCTAGCAAACCCTCCTTTGCGTACATGTACTTACATTCTGGCCACTAGCCTGTGTCATTTGCCCTTGCTCTCCACTTGTTGATGGCACTGCCTCACTGGCGGTCACTGTACACAATGAACTTAGCTCCTCCCCATCTTTGACCGGTATAATTATCCGGGGAAGACTGTCTAGGATTTTGGATGTTTTGGGGACAATTCTAGGTGAGACCTTGGATTTGCTGAACCACGCTGGGTGGCTGCGGCTCAAGTGAGTCTGCATGGTGCTAGGACGCATGAACCCTTTGTGACACTTGGGGCAGTAGTACCGGTAGCGTCCCTGGTGGTCCCTTAGCTCGTGCTCACGCAGGGTGGAGCTACGATAGAAGCCCTTGCAGCAGGTGGAGCATCGATAGCTGGCCTTGCTGTGCAGCTCCGTGTGCTGCTCCAAGTGCCTGGCGTGCTTGTACTCCCGGTCGCAGGGGACACAGTGGTAGCGCATGCTCTCATCACCTGGGTGGTACATCTTGGCGTGACGGACTAGAAGTGGCACGCTGCTCACCCGCTTTTTGCACAAGCTACACTGGTAGTTCAGTGAGGGAGGGGTGCGGCGGCGTTGCGGATCAGTGTTGTCGTCTGCCCCTTCATCCTCGACTGCTGTCCCACCCAAGTCCCCTCCCTTTTCCTCCGTATTAGTGTTTGCATATATGTAGATCTGCTGCTGAATCTGGTCCGCATCCATGGACTGATCTTGACTGTTTGCATCCAAGCCCCCAGCCCCATGTTGGCTGCTTAAGGCCGACTCAAGAGACACAGGGAAAGGCAGTGTGACAGTGGTCTTGGTCCATGATTCTTCATCTGCAGAGGTGGTCAACTGGGAGTTGCCTGGCTCGGTTTTAATCACATGCACAACAGTTTGGCCACCTTGCTCACTGTCCTGGTTTACAACTGCCATGTTGGCTGGGGATTCTGACGGGAGGTTATTGGCGAATGAGAGTTCAGCGGAAGTGTCCATTTCCGCGTCGTGTCCATCAGTGCTCAATTCATATTCTTCAGTCTCTGCAAAGCTTCCGTTCTGATCCTCGCTCTGGTCACCGTGATTTGACACGGGCAACCCCGTAATCCCTGAGACCATGACTTCCCATGGCTGTTTGGACAGCCCCTTGTCCATATACTGGAGGTTAAGGGTTCTTGTGGCATAGTACTGACAGCCACTGTGGTCTGCACAATCCTCCAGCTTGACCAGTATTTCACAGCCTGTTTGTATGGCCAACTTGTGTGCCTAGGTGAGTAGGAGAAGAAAATATTTGCAAGTCAACACCTTGACATCCATTTGACTTTGTGGGATTGAGCCCACATTCACACTGAGCTTTCAAAATCCTTATTAATAAAGAAATGAACCCAGTACTGCATTTTTTGTGTGCTTCAAGCCGCACTCGGTTATGCTACAATGCATCATTGGGCCACAATGGAGTTTTCTTTTGAAATAAACCATCATATTCAAAGCGGAATGATGTCTAAATAAAATAAACTGACAACCATCATCAAATGGTCAATATTGATATACAGTGTACTGAATGTAATTTGGTTAATATGCAATAAAAGACGTCCTTGTGGTTTTAAATAAATTGGGTTTTCTTAAATGGAAAATGGACTTCTTTTGAAACTGAGAGTTATTAGCTCATGTCTGCTGTGAACTCAGAACTACAGGAAATTGCCCTTTTTTCTTGTACAAAAGAGTACTTACCATTTGAAATAACGAAACCCGCAACTCCTCCTTAACATATTCACGTAACGTGTTATTCTTTATGTACTTCATGGCGAATGGTACAGTCAGTGAAATCACAGTGAAGATTGCCAATTCAAAGCAGGGAGGCTTGAATGTTCATGATCCAAGGGCGGAGTAGGACTGCTCACACCATTTGGTTAAGAGAGCCCCATTTACCTGCAAGATAAATTGTAAAAATACATCAACTGCGTGTACAATAAAAATACATTCTAACAAATGTTATTTAATAACTTTCTCCCAAACAAATGAAGAATCACTTGAATGCCACTTTGTGCAGGAGGTTGTGTAAACCTCTAACAATGTTTCTGTAAGGGTAACAGGAAGGGCTTATAAACATCTCCTGGCAATTTCTATCTACAGGTGTAACACACATGCCTTTACTTACATGTAGGCCTCAGCCTACATGTATCATCACAAACAATGTTGGTCGCTTTGCCCATTCGTCACCTTGTTGCCCACAACCTCTTAGCACATTTGCCACTTTTCCCAAGTGTTACTTCACATCCATGTAGAACACCAGTTAAACCCTAATGTAAGGATCTAACAGCATATTATCCAACAAATGTCAGTATCTTTAAGGTACAGTACATACAAATCAATGATATGTATTTATAGACAGCTGAGACAAATCCAAATCTTTATTATGAACTTGATACAAGACAAGTATACATTTATAGTTTTAGCAGCTTAAAGTACCGATACCTGTAGCATGGTCTTAATATTGTTTTATCTGGGTATAGAGAGAAATGAACACGGCTGTTTTTATCTTCTCACTTTGTCTTGTAAAGCATGGAAGGATCCATTCACTTTTCGGAAGCCAATGTATTGGAGTACAGTTGGAGGAGTGCTTGTTTATTTCATACTTTAAATTAAGTCTTATTTAGAACAGGTCAGCTCATACATGTACGCAAGCCAACTCATACACTGACCAACTTGTATGCAATTTGGTCAACTCGTACGTCGAGTATCTCATTGAACAACTCATGAGCTAACTAACCCGAGCACTGCAACTTGATGCATGATCGGCTTTTAGTCTGAATTCTGAAACCAAATGACCGGAAAACAGTGCTTTACGACTAAATTGCCCGACGCACTAAAAACTGCTCTTTTCAGAATTACAAACAAAAATACTAATCTGTTTTCAAAGAAGCGCATCAAGATTCAAAATTGACAAATACAATACAGTCCAGAAATGTAAATACAAGGCAGAACCCCTTATTTTACAAGTATGGTGGCTTGTCATTGATAAGTGTTTAAACAGCATTGATACACACAGCAGCACACTTTTTTGTTTTTTAGCAGACTGGGAGGGAGTCCAGCTGGGAGGAAATATCCAGCATATGTAGGCTGGGGTAGACATCCAGGACTTTCGTAGAATGGCGGGTAGCAACCACACCACACAGATGAAAACTGTGAACATGGTGACATGTATACACGCATACCAACCAGTCAGAGGCTCAGGCTCTACTCTTTGGTCAGTATGTACATGCACACAAGTCGTACTTGTTTTCATCAGTGTGGTGTGATTGCTACCTGCCATTTTGCAAAAGTCCCAGACGTGCGCCCTGGCTTGTAGAGAGCAAGGGTAAGACAACAGCACACATCCTCACACGTCGTACTAATGGTACAATTTAGCATATCAGTTGGTCAGCGTACGAGTTGGTCTATGCACAAGGTGGTCGGTATAACAGTTGGTTAGCGCATGTACGAGTTGGCATGTGTATGAGTTGACCAGCATTCATCTTACAGTCCTACTTTAAGTAGGCCTACTCCGACCAGAGGGCAAAGTGGCAAATGGGCAAAGTGACAGACAGGCAAAGTACCAGCACAGCGACTGGGCAAAGTACCAGCACAGCGACTGGGCAAAGTGACTGTGGGTGAAGTGGTTATGGGCAAAGTGACTGTAAACTAAAAAAGCCTATCACAAACATGGGCCTAACACAATTTTGAAACAAAAGCATCTCAGGCACAATGCAGGAACAAAGTCACACTTTCTTGGACAATTAACATGATGGAGACATCACCATTTGGCCTAAAACATGAAGACTTCTTATATTTATCAAGCTGAAGTTACACTGCCTGGAGCCTTAGGCCTTGGCGTTAATCATGTTAATGCAGCAAGACGGAGTTGGATTCACTAATAATGATGCCGGAAGTAAAGTTCTTGCCAAATTACACTAAATCATCATTGAGCCTTCCGCAAGGTGTCCGAATATTGAGCAGGCCTTATACCTACCTACCATCGACCTAATATCCTCCTACCTACCAATCATTCAGCAAAGTGTCCGAATATTGGGCAGGCTTCGTCGACTTAAGTCTGTCATGTTTGTGAAACCAACAAATAATAGCTTGATCGAATCTTTTATCAAATAAAACCGTATTTGTAACAAACAAACCAGAAACTTGACATGCAATACTACCTACCAATCAGAAAATGCATAAATTTCTTGAGTGAAGCCGTACATAAATTTCCAAAACAAAAGCGACTAAGCCTAACTGCACTGGTTATATTTTGACTCGGAGTCCTGGTAAGTGGTAAGTTCAACCGCATATATCTACATCCGCCAGCGCAGCTAGCTAGCAGCAGCGCCAACTTGCAACGAAATTGACTAGCGCCCTCTACGGTTTTGATAACAACTCTTCACAGCCTATACGGCACGCGTTGCCAGATACATGTACTGTACAGGTGTACATGTACATGTATTTTGTATAGTACTGAGGGCATGCCGATTCTAATAGAAATGGTGTCAAACATTAACATTAACCCCAAAAAAGAATGAATAAAACGTAAATAACTTTTGTCAACTCATACATCGTAATGTTGAATTTATTCAACTTTATTTTTTCATATTAACAGTAACACCTGAGCCCCCTACTCTTGGATACCGGTCAACTAGGGACTGAGTTGACTTGGGACCGTCCATGATTTGTCAACTTGACTTCGGCAACTCGTCCGTTGAGACAAGTCGTCCGTCAGCTCAGCCTAGTTGTCTGCTGGGGCTACGGTGTGAAATACAGTGCCTTAATAATGGGATGGAATTTCATGTAATATATAGACAAGCCTAATTTCTGAGGAATTATAAAAATGGTGGCCGTAGTAAATCAATCTTTGCCCAATTAATCTATCTTGAAAAAAAAAGATCAGAGAAATATGGAAAGGCTGCGTCGCACCATGATCAGGTTATCGACAAGAATATAAGATTAAATCAGTGCTCTGAAATAAATGATTGCCGAGCTTTCGGTAACTAAGTACCTTCCCCGAAGAAGGTACTCAGAAGAAGGTACTCAGTTAATTACCGAGAGCTCGGCAATCAGATATTTCAGAGCACTGATTTAATCTTATATTCTTGTCGATAATCTATCTTGCACGCGCGCAAACCCAGCCACGCATACCACCTCTATGCGTATACTTAGTTCCTTATCTATTCTTATCCACAAGAAGCATTGTTGCAGGGAAAAAATACGAATAGTTACAGGTTGATATGACCATGGAGAAATAAAACACATGACACTCACTACGAGTGATCCCAAATACTTTTGCATAAACTTTTGCATTTAGTGTCTGTTTAATCAAAATGACTTTCAAAGTTGCGTTTTATTTAGAATAGAACGCATATTGTTTCCTAGTTTCGGATCACGCATTAAGTGCACGCAATATACACTGTACGTTGCGAACTGATCTTGCGAGGCCATGTTGCAGAAATGTACGTGACCTATTAACTGAATGGGTTTGTCAATTGTGCGGCACGAGGTAGTATCGTTGATGGCTCGCTAAAGCAGCTGAGAAAGTTGATCCCAAATTTACGCAAGATCCACTTTATAAAAATTCATTTGAATTCTTATTTATGAACTAATTTTCTCTAGAGTAAGAATTTTTTTCATTAGAAAATAAGCTTTTTTACAATGGTTCTGACTGAAAATGGATTTGCCGCTTGCGTGCCACGGTTACTTTCCGGAAACCGATCCAGAACGAGGAAAAGTGTCACCACTTTCGTCGATCCTGTATGTCCGAATTAAAAGTTAAAAATTTGAAATTAATTTGGTAACATCTCCTGCACACAAGAGGGATGGTGACCACATTTCACTGGAATTTGAGGATTTTTTGAAGCTGCAATCTGACTGAATAATTTACGCGATCTGGAACCGGGAAAACGACTGTATTATGTGTAGAGATCTCACTGGTCGAGTCGTCCTAACGTACGACTTGGCAAATGGTCGAGTTGTCTAAACGGTCGAATTGTCCGAAGTCGAGTTGGCAAACGGTCGAGTTGTCCGGCATCCCTTTAAAGCCTACCATTACGGGGAAATCAGTCATCATCAGCAGTGGCATAGCTAGGATTTTACCACTGGGGACACCAGCATCTTATGGGGGGCACCAGCTACGCCCTGATCATCAATATACATGTAGTGAAATAAATACAAAGCCATTGCCCTTTGCTATATGAGCAATACGAGTGTTTACTTTTCATTTGAAACTCCAATTTGTGGTAGTAGGTGTTGTGTGCCGGATGATATTCGGGTAAATTTCTAAACGACCATGCATTTATTTTTACAGTTGGCATATGCATGTACATATGTGTCCATCACAGTCACTACCTGTGACCCAGCTGATCCAAACGAGGCTTATTCAGGGCATACTTGCTTTTTTCAGGGAGACAAAGTTTCTCCATGTTTTCTTCTTTTGCTCTCGACTATGTGTTTTACAACTTGAAAACAGAAATTCTCACTTTAAATACCCCACGTTTATATTTTGGTTGACCTCTATTCGCAACATCTTTCTTAAATTAGGGGAGAACCCCCCTAAACATGCTGGATCTGCCACTCCATTCGTATCAGCGATAATAGGGTGGTTAATAACTCGTCTATCAATGGCCACAATGTATATACAAGGACTCACAAAGACAATCAACAACATTGCATTTTTTTCAGTCTGGAGAAAGTTTATTTTTTAGAAATAATACAGGTGACATCTGTCTTAAATGCAACGTAGGCCATTGTTTAAAAAAGCAAAATTAATTTCTATTGAATGCAGAAAACTGGCATCTGGTTTGAGTTCAGACTGTTCCAAATGCATACCGAAACATTACGGCTGACTTTTGAAACATATTGCTTCAAGCTGCCAACACGTTAACAGGTAATACCACTTCTGATGGTATACCAGGCAAGATATGGGACAGAAGGGTACCCCCCCTTAATTGTCCAATCCCTATACACACTCTAGACTACTGTTACCTAATACATCCCCCCTAGAAGTCTGTAAAGAGTTCCTGAGATTCCGATCAAACAATGACCAACACAAAGGGGGGGTTCTCTCCATCCCATATCTTGCTTCAAATGTCTGATGGCATGCGCTACATGCCAAGATTACATAATAAGCCCATGCACTGAATTCCCATCAACAGCCTTTCCGCATGGGCGATCTTTAACAACACTGTTAACATTTTTAAATTAAATGATTTTCTCACAGAGAGACTGATAATGAAAGGCAACTGGAGGTCAATAACTTGCTGGTGAAATTAAAAAACAAGAAGGGGTTCCAAAACCTACAAACGTTTGCAACTACCTGAAAAAGCAAGAAAAATCTTACTTCAAAAACAAAAGGTAAGATTTCACCCAGTCTTCAGAGACGGTAACCTGATTTGTTTTTCTTTATTTCACCAATATCAGCAGCTAACGACCCCCAACCTTTGATTTCTTTACGGCCTTTTCTCCAAGCACCTTTCCCTTTTTGGACCTCAATGCACTCCCTTTGCCCAATCGGTCCCCTCTCTGATGCATTCGGTCACTGGAACGTCCAAACTTTCTGACTGTATTCTTCCCCGAGAGCCCTGATTTTCGTCCCGCTTTCATGGGGGACTTCTTCCCAAAGCTTTTGGACGTTCCGTATGAGCTCCTGTCAAGGCTTTCTGGCCTTCGGGCACTGCCCTTCATTCCTTTCCTTGCCTGGCTCTGGAATTCTTTGGATGGCTTGGCACCGAATTTAAATTTCTTTTCTGGAAGCCTGCCTCCCTGACTACCAGCTTTCCTTTTGTCTGTCCTTTTCCTCTTGTCTGGCACTTGCTTCTGGTTCGGAAAAAGAGCTGAAAACGAGGAGGGAAACTTCATCTTCATTACGCAAATGCCACATTCAATTGCTGCTGCTAAACTCGTGTATTACTTAAATTGCTGAGGTAGCCATTCAGTTGAAAATGTTCAAGCCACCACAGCTGATGTCTCATTTACGTAACTTTTTAATTTAATTTAATAAAATATTGAGGAAAACTAGTTATTTCAAGACAATTTCTACCTGCTGGGCACATCAAAAAATAAAAAAAAATCACACAGCAACCCCGTTCATACCACATGTGCCTTCACAAAAATGAACTTAATTTGCAACACAAGAGTTTTCTGTTCAAGAAGTACAAATGACTGCTGTTATCTTCACTACTTGTCTTATGAAAGGTCAGAAAGCATACTTGACAGATCAAATGACAGCATTCAAATACCTGGGTCCGGATCTTCCCCCACTTCTTGTCGGTAGTACTCTGTGTCATCCTCTGGTTCTTCTTCTTCTTCCTGTTCCTCAGTGACAGCTTTACCCAAAACAGAAAAAATACAGGAAAAATTTGGTTTCAAAACTCTCTTATTCACTGTTTTGGGTTCTTATCCAATTACAAATAAACTGTGCTTTTGGTTACGGAGGTTTATACTTTTGTCTCTGAAACAGAATATACTCTGAAGTTCACGTCCACAACTTTTTGGGCATCAAAGACTTGACAGCAAAATAATGTTCTTCAATGGATGGCTTTGCATTCTGAATTACACAGGATATTTTGGGGGAGCCACTTCGTTAATTTTACTGCTGCAATTCTTATGACATCAGTTAAATTTCCACATTCTTCAGTTGGCATTTTACCTGTCACGTTAGGTTTCTCTTCTTGTTCTTTCTTCCGAATTCCTTCTATTGATTTTAATCTAAATCGGTATCAGAAATAAGTGAATGAAAAGTGATGAAACACAATTTTCAGAACTTGCACGATTTATTGTCAATATAAATTGTTTAGGAACTTTCTTCAAGGACAAAATGTTTGGCTTTTTTTGGGGGGGTGGTCGTGTCTCCAGCGACCATATGTTAATTTCTACATCTCCTGCAGGATTTTTCCTCCCCTTTAAAAGTGGCAAAAAGGTAGGTTACCATTCATACTGTGCCTAGAACGCTGGCTCTGAAAGCCCAGTTTGGACTCAGCCAGAGTCTCTGTCCACATTACTTGGCTGGGGATTAAAACTGAACACAAGTCTGTGATGGTGGCTTCAGCCAATATCCACAGTCGTATTTTCAAGCTAAAGCTACGCAATTCGGACAGGGCATAACATTAGGCAAGGCCCGACGATTTATACTCTAGATAAACTCCAAGAAAGGGTCTGGAACTAGTACACTGTCTGGAAGTGAGAGCAACAACTGGGCTGCATCGTGAGTGCTGATGACACCCGTTAAACATGCCGAGAACTGTCACATACTGTAGAAATGCAATCTGCTGTCAGCACTGTTTTTCATTTTGTCTGCTACAAGATATTCTGGCAGTGAGACAAGGGAGACTAGTTTGCTGTACCCGAATCAATCGGCTTCAGCTCTGAAAAATACACAGGTTTATGGACAGTGGTTCAAACCACTAGACAGTGGATTTCAGTGGGCGCAGTTTTAATCATAATCATAACTTTCAGACACAGCCCTTAGTCCACTTACTTGTGTTCTTCTTTCAGTTTGTTCTTTGCATCCACATTGGACTTCTGAAGCTTCTTTCGCTTTTCCTTGAGTTTCCTACAAGGAGTTACAATAATTACACATCTCTTTCAAGCAAACGACTGAGAAGAAAGGAAATTACAATGGACAAAATTTGAAAAGGGGGAATGACGTGCTTGCATGACTGGATTGCGCCACCAAAAATGAAATTCACTCTAAGTACCCAACGCTATCACTGATTATGAATTTCTACAGATTTCTCACGCGAAAACATCAGGCAAACTGTTACATCAACTTACATTTTCTGCATCCGAAGATCTCTGGCTTCTGCTATCTCCTGGGCTGTCTTGTGCACTGCATGTTTCAAGGCAATTCACGAAATATGCACACTGCTTCAAATGAACTTTTCAAAGAAATAAAATACTCTTGAAATTCAATTCAAATGTATTAAACACTGTTGAACATTTCTGTTTTGATTTTGAGGGCGAGGAGTTAGTAGGAAATGCCCTTTTGACATGGCTTAATTTATGAAACGTTACTGGTTTTCAAAGCAGCTTAACGGCACAAGTACCAAATAGGGCACACATGCTTATATTGCATTCATGTACATCTGGGAAACGTCCTTCAACAGTAATTAAAGAGCAATGATCGTCTTTTTCCAAGATATTTAAGGTACCACTGCCCAATATTTTGCAATGCACAAATACAACTAGAGGGCATAAAATCACACTGCATTATTTTTGATTGCTGATTTACAATCTCTGTATTGAAACCAAACAGGATGCAGCCATACCAAACTGATGGTAGAGAACTTCTCCCTCACACAAGCCCTCTTCAATCTTAACCATCTGCAGCTGCATCCTGGGGCCAATCTGTGGGAAAATAAGGTACCGATGAGACTTTGTGTCCAATGTTGAATGTGTTGCATGTCTCTGGTGCAAAGACACTGACAAGTGGGGAGACTACTTTCACATGAATGCCAAGGACGGTGTTTTACAGTGGGTGCTGGTTCAAATGCTGTTCAATCAGTTTCCTTGGTTCTACTAGGTGTTGAATAGAAATGATTTCACAGTCGCCTTCGGTAAGGGATTTTAAGATTGCTCATTTTCAAATGCTGCTTTTTCTCCGAATGTGTCGGAAATGTATATCTATGGCTTTCACAAATAAAATTGACAGCATATCCTGAAAAAACGTTTAACCCTAACCTTCCCCAACCACACAGAATTAAACAGTAGTAAAGTGTTTAATTCTGTGGGGAAAGGTCTGGTAGGCCCATAACAGCTGGCTTTTGCATTGGGTTGGCATACCTCAGAAAAACAAAAAGTCCAACAGTCTCTGTGCACAAAGTCCCATATGGGTGTTAACTTTGTGTGAATGGGGAAATTTTGGGCCAGCAACCCTTGGGGAGTCAGGTTAAAGTGCAAGGGAGAAAAACTAAACACAATTCTAGAGGACATTCCCCGACAACCGCTAAGGAAGCCTGATGCCCTTCACGTGAAAATAAGAATATCTCTGGAAGCAAAAATGTGATCTGGACACCTCAACGAGTCTGATGGCACTCTTCTGGGCAGCAATGTTCCCCCGGCTGCTCATCATCTGAGGAATGGTCACCTCATTGTCTGGACCGTCTTGCTCAGCCTCGCTTTCTGACAACTGACCAGCACTGAGACAAACAAATGGTCCATGTGATCATATTAAACAAACAAGGACTTTCATAGCTGCACATCATTTAGGTTTAAATGCAGACCTGAGCTTTGATTCAGCAAATTGTTGGACGCATTGCAGGTTAAACATCACGAAATTATGAGAAAATGTAAATCATCAAAAAGAGTACTGAATAACGTTATAGACCATCTGCATTACTTGATTAACCCTCCTTTGGTTTTACAGCACAAATGTGCACAAATGCCCATAGTCAGTGGTGNTGCATGTGGTTTACTGCACAATTATGCACATGAAACAGTGAAGCACAGATGTTGGGCAGCACAAAAGTGCGATTTGATATTCCTGTGAGAGACTGTTAGTGCAGTGCACTACACAACTCAGCTGTGCTTCTTTAAGGTGTTCACCAAATGACCCAAAGAGTGACTTCAGCATAGGAGGGTTAAAGCAGTGATCTCTGGAGGGCTTAAACGACTTTTCATCCAAGATGATGTGATGGAAAATTGCAGATTTTACCATATGATTTTAAAGACAGTGCACTCAACATGAACAACAAAGGTACAGCACAGTGTGGGGCAGGCAAACTTCTCTTTGGATGAATAACTTTAAAAGTGTCACGTACAACACAGAGCCTTTTGCCTCTGCTTGTGTGACAGAAATACATTTTAACAGGGAAACACAATTAAAGAGTTAAGTGCTTTGAGTTTTTAAATTACACCATTTCTTCGGACACACAAAAAAATCCGAGAAAGACAAGTAAAGCTGTCATCAGTTCTCACTTGAGGAAGAAATCGCTGACATCTTTGTATCGCCCCAGGTCTGGCACCTTGGCCTTCAACAGCTTCTTGACACTGCGGCTGATTCCGACTGGCACAAGCTTGATGGAACTTCCGCCAAACAAGAAGAGAAATTTCTGTTATGTGACTTCACATTCATTATGATAATTGTCAACAGCCACTGTCCATGACGCCCCGGCAAGTTTACTTTAAGCAGAAGAATAAACCTCACTTTTTTCATCTTTCTTTCCCTTTCATCTGCACCAATGGCAGCCAAGAGGGGGGGGAAGCAGTGGCCCCCCGGCTCCACCCCCCATCCACAGCCAGTGATCTGCACATATCTACTTACTAGTGTCTGAACTCGATCAGCTTGGTGTCTGGATCATAGTTGAAAAGCACACAGCGACGGATCTTGTTTAGCCGAACCTGCAGAGGCAAACAGGTAGTACCTGTATGACAAGTCATACATTCTCGGATCTACCCTAAAAAACTGGAGGTTTACTAATGAATGCGACAGGATCGACAAAAGCAAAATGTAAAGGCAACATGTACAATCCAGTGAAATCCAAAATAAACATTCACCGCCACACGATTTCCAAAAACTTTGAAAATACATGGATGGGTAATGGTTAAAGTGTACATGTATTTTAAGTTCTGACAAAGTTACTGTTTTTAAGCAAATACACAAATCTGGAATGAATTGAGGGATCACTAATTTCAAAGTATACCCTTCTGTCACACTCTTTCGTACCCTGTGCACATTGATGGAAGGGAACATATTCTGAAGGACTGTGGCGGTGAGCTTCAGGTGGGGTTCCTCTTTGCTGAAATTGTTGAGCACGAGAAGAGGGTGGTACCTGAATTGGGAGGCATACATGTTGGGCCGCTTCAAGGACGACACCACATCTTTGGCCAGCGAATACTGAAAAGAAAACAATTCAAACACTGAATGAAGTCACCCTGAGAGGAAAAAATCAGATATTTATCTGAAATTAACAGATGGGATGTGGCTTGAAATTTATTGAATGGTGGTTACCTTGGCCAACTAACATGGTTATGAGAAGGGCATCCAAATCTTACCTGAGTCACTTTGAATGTTATGGTGGGACCTCTTGGGATCTTAATGATTCTCTGGAAAGGAAATGAAAAATTGCTTCAACAGATAGTGCCAATGTATGTAACTGGTCACCTCTGCAATGCCCTGGAACTAGTACAAGGGGTTTCTATTCACAACTTGGATTAGCAATATCAAACAGAAACTGCACACTGTTTGCGTTTGCCAACCCGTTAAATTTAATAATAAAAAGCTGCATGAAATTGAAAGTGTTTCCATGGGCGGGGGGGGGCTGAAGCTCAAATCCTTTCTGCGTCTCACCATATTTGTTCCCGTATCTGTTTTTGTGAACACCATGAAATGCGACACCCCCAGAGGACTGGCCACACTGACAAAATCCTTCAGCACATTCTTCTTTCTTGCCTGAAACCAAAAACAAACCAAAGTGGTGACCTGACAAAATAATATGGGAAAGAAGTAGGAAAAGTAGCAATTTTTCACACTTATTGAGTTAATTTCATCAGCATGAAATAAAAGTTCAAGTCTTACACACCAGCTTCCCAACACCTGCCAAAGGAAATCAAAACCAACACCATGTGTAATTCCTTTCAAACTATCATTTGCCAAACTGCGGCAGTGACAGCTTATAAATCTGGCTGCCAGCTTAGTCCACATGTACATGTGATACACTGCAAAGAGGCTTGGCTAGGAATATTTCCACAAACCACACCTGATGAAAAATGCCATAAAAATTGTTTACCCTGAGGCTGGCAGCAGTGTATGGTTCCATAGTCTTACGGACATCCAGAAGCAGTTGCAAGACACTTTTGCCAACAGTGCCTCTGTGGAAGACAAAGGTGTGGGGCGCTTTGCCATACTCACTCTCGGCAGTGACCAGATTCTGCTTGGCCTTTTTCTTGGCTTTTCCCTGGAGTCAAAGAAATCATAAATGGTTATCAATATTAAATGGTCATCTTGCATTTGAAACTGGGGGGAAATACACAGTTTGATGAACATGTTCTTGTAACGGCAGTAATTGTGTTTGCAGGAGGAAATGTTTGAAGGATTAAACTGTATCATTTGTTGCATTCAACTTTTGCTATTGACAATTATGTGCCATTTGTCAAGCATATGGTCCTCTGCTTTAAATCTTTCAAAGGCAGTGATTCAAACAAAAAGATTGCGATTTAGGTCACCCAAATTAGAGATTCTAAATTCAGGTAAGATGAAAACTAAGGAGGTAGCCCCTTTATTTTGGAAATGACATTTTCAAATTCTAATTTTTCTCAACTCGTTTACCTCATTTGGACTAACATCTAAAGAAGGTGTCATCCCATTCAACAAGTTTTGAACTACATGTACTTTTGGAAAACAAAATATAGAAAAAATCTGTAGAGCTAGAGGTTACGTCTGACTTTTTCAACTTATTTTCCGACAAAATATCTTGATAGTGGCACTGGATAATTTTATTTGGGAAAGGATGGTTCAGCAACTGAGCTACTGTATACTATTACTAATTGCCCATGCAACATTCGTACCAAACTGCTGTTTACAATGACAGTCTTGTAAAGACCACAAATTTCACAGTTTGTTGAGTTTTTGAGGACGGCCAATTCATGGGACCTGAGATCAACAACACAATGTTGTTACACCCCAACTACAGCATCAGTTCCGACCATAGTTGGGACCAACCCAACTATAGTTGCCCCAGTCCTAACTATAGTTGGGCCCGTCCCAACCAGAGTACTGTTATTGGGCCAGCCCAACTACAGCACAGAAATCCAGTGTACATGTGCCCAGCATGTGCCAAAGTCACATTTACAATGTCATGTCATAGATGAAATGCCATATTTTAGATGAATTGTGTCAAGTGTGAGATGCATAAGCTTGGATAAGGTTGAGAAATTTTCTATCCAATTTGGTCAGCAATACTTGGGCCAGCCCCGCAGCACTAGAGTTAATTGGGACTGTCCCAGCTATAATCGGGACAGACACTATAGTTGGGGCGTAACAATATCTCTTTCGGCATGTTCCTCAAATCTGGAAGAGTTCCATACACTATCAGTAATCTTTCCATACAGTCCCCGACATTCAGCCATCAGGAAACGATAACATGTCCTAACGAGCCAAATTTAGGAAAATATTGAATCTTTTATAAATTATAGGCCTAAAGGCCCTAGGCCTATTTCAATTGTATTTGGTTAAACATATTACATTTTTTAAAGTGATGTCTGTGTACATGGTGCACTGAACTCTTTTACTCCAAACAATGCAGAAGGCCAACTCCGGCCTCCCTAACGTGGAACATGAACCTGAAGGAAGTTACACATGACACAAATGATTAAAGTTGTACAGGAATGTCTAGGAAGTGAAGGCAACAGCTGCACCATCTCGATCAATCCTCAGTGTCGCGATGTTGATAATCCAATTCCTCTTTTGCCATTGTCGTGTTTGAATATGTGCGTACGTTGTATAATCTGATTGGAAGATATCCAGATTTAAGTACACCAAAGTGATAAATTCCAAATATGAACTATCTACCGATTTATTATCAAATAAATCACAATCAAAACCGACCTTCTTTTTCCTTGACATGATCCTGTGGGTCTTCACATTCGCCTGACTTCAAAGCAGACACGCGTACAGTACAGACACACAGCCGCAGTGCAATTCTCCACGTACATGAACATGTACACTCGCCGCATGCGCACGTGTTGACGTGTTGAAGGGCGCCCTCAACACTAGCCTTAGGCTGGTTCTTTTTAAGTTTTTCTTCTTTCGTGAACTGGATTCGTAGACGTCTGGGTAGTTAACGCTTTCATGAACTACACGAATAAAACTACCAAAATCTAGCCTATCGGCATCGTTTAGGCCCCGGTAACATGCAAACAACCTGGGTTTCTCAAACAAAACCTTGATTTTTGTTTCTCCTTAATCATTCCATTTCTTATCGTTTTTGTCGATTGGCCAATTACAAGTACATTTTGAATTTATTCACACAAAACAAAATCTCTCCCCCCCCCACAAAAAATGATTGCCCCGAAATCTGCATGCTGCAAGGACCATTTTTCAACCACAGTTTTGATCAGTTTTGCCCTCGGATGGAAACTCAAAGAACCAGGGAGTTGACCCTGGCAAATAATCAAACAATCTCCTCTTTTCAAAAGAAATCGCGGGCTCTTTTCACTGGACCCTTCCCTATTACTTGGGGAGGGGGTTGTGCGGTAGGTGAGAGCGAGCCTTGCACTTGATATTGCCTGGTCGACCGCCATTAACTATATAATCCTTCAATGTTGCCAACACTTTTTCACAAAGGATTGGCGGGTACGAAGAGAACGGTGCTAAACACTGAACATCGTGGCCAACAACAACACCAACCACATGTACATGTACTTTTAAATTAATTAATTGATAAGCTGTGAAGCTCTGAAGGCCAACACGTACACACGCACTCCCTGGTGTACTAACCTCCCTCCCACTAACATACATGTACATGTTCGCCAGATATAAGATATCAAACAAATCACAACAAAATGTTGCACATGAATGTCCTATTATTTGATATTAGAGCCTTGGAGGTCAATATTACATGTATTTGGTATTGCAGGACAAAAAAATGAACAAAGGAAAAGCCGTGGCTAATCAATTTGTAAAAATTGAGTTTTTTAATGGAAAATTTACCTGAAGATTTCCAAAAAGGACCAAAATGAAAGAAAATTAAACCATCCGAGACAGATTATTTCGAAAGTGGTGTATTTGTTTCTAAAGCAGAACATTTACAGATAAAATAATACCTGGGATATGTCATGTTGGGGGAATTTTGAGGATCATTTACAAGATGCTTGAAGAGTTTTGTACGTGTACATGAACAAGGTATACTTATCTCAAATTATTTCTCACACACTTCAGATCAAAAACAGGTTGTGATCCGAGAGTATGCATTATCTTCAAAGGAATAATGACTTTACAGCGAACTTTCATGAACAAGGAGTTGAAATAATTCAGCCCTGCACATGACACTTAACTATAGATAAGCTATACTCCACAGACTGGCCCTTGACAGTATCATTTTGAGATGAAATGAAAAAAAACTAATTTAAACAAAAAAAATTGCTGACAATTACTGCAACAATATCTCCCCAACAAGTAGGAATTGAATGAAATTCGTTCTTGAACAAACCTAACTAATCCACCTTTTCCAACATACATAACAGATCAAAATATTTTTTTTTCCACACTTACTTTCATACAATTACGAAAAAGTGTTACAGCCTGATAAATCGTCATTCCATCACATGGCAAAGTTCTGACCTGGTGTCCAAATTATGGAAGTACATTTCTTTAAAAGTAAACACCTGCAGCTTTACTTTTTGAACCAGGTCACGTTGGTCTTGCATGTACGTACTGCTTTCCTGCAACAAAATGTACACGCAACAGCCGGCACTGGGAACAGTAAAGGACTGTGAAGTACTACCCGAAGCAGCGGGCGAAGTGACCATTCTGTTGAACTGGGCAGTATCTGGAATGACCTTTTAATACACAAGATCTCGTGGCAGTAATGTGATAGAGACACTTATGTGGTTCTTCCCTCGATTTGTTTATTTTTTTCTTAACATACCTGCACTGTTAATGTACCACCTAGACCTCCTTCATACTGTCAGGAGAACTTGTGAAACCCCAATAATTTATTTTTGCAAAAAGCAGTTCCTTTTTTTTATTGAAGAGTCTCTTGCTCTTTTAAGTTCCACTTATAACTCATCCTTGTCATAATCCTCCTCATCGCCACCGTCAGTGGGAGGCGGTCCACCTGCTCCCTCGTATAATTTACTAACAATTGGGGTGACTACGTCTTCCAATTCCTTTTTGTGAGCCTCAAAGTCTTCTTTCTCTGCGTCTTGGTTAGCGTCCAGCCACTCAATCTGCTCTTCCAGTGCTGCATTGATCTTCTCCTTCTCATCCTCTGAAAGTTTCCCGCCCAATTTCTCCTCGTCCTTGATCTGGTTCTTGAGGGAGTATGCGTAGCTCTCCAGCTCGTTCCTCGCCTCCACCCGGTCTTTTACCTTCTTGTCCTCATCAGCAAACTTCTCGGCGTCGTTGATCATGCGCTCTATGTCCTCAGGCGTGAGGCGGTTCTGGTCATTGGTGATGGTGATCTTTTCCTTGTTGCCCGTGCCCTTGTCTTCAGCCGACACTCTCAGGATGCCGTTGACATCAATCTCAAAAGTTACTTCAATCTGGGGGACACCGCGGGGAGCTGGTGGGATGTCATTCAGGTCAAATTTCCCGAGCAAGTGGTTGTCTTTTGTCATGGGACGCTCACCTGTTAACATAAATAAGAAACATTTTACCATGTTCCTGTCAGATAAACAACCCATCTTTTTCTCACTTAGATTTTTCAATATAAACCCACAGCAAAGTATTGTCTTGGTCTTCACAGCACTCAGCACATTCTTTTCCCATCTTTACAGACTGTGACTGGTGTTCATCTATCAAAAACAAGTGAGTTTTCCAAATGTGCAAAGTGATTCTCCACTGCAAACTCCTGGAATGGAAGTGCCCAGTGACAAAATTTCAAGGCAGTAACCATGAAGTAAGACATACGTGTACAAGACACGTCACTTCCAATTTAGCACACTCACCTTCATATACTTGGATTGTTACAGTTGGCTGGTTGTCTGCAGCTGTGGAGAAGATCTGTGATTTCTTTGTGGGTACAACCGAGTTTCTGGCGATGAGCTTAGTCATGACACCACCAACAGTCTCAATACCCAGTGTCAGGGGGTTTACATCAAGAAGAACCAATTCGCCTAAAGAAAAATATCAAAAATCAGTGTTGCGTTTTTATCTATTCTTCAGCAGGAAAACTAGCCATTTTTTCACAACTTGTTAAACCGTAACCCTACTAAATTCACCAACAATCAACTTCCATTGGATTGGATGATCCACCAGTGAATGAAACTAAAACGTTTTGTATCTTTCTGTTGCACTTGCTGAATTCAGCAATAAGCCATAACTTGATGACATATAAATTACCATCCAGAAGTGAAAATCTGTACATTTGGCACAATTTTTTCGAGACGTTTTTTACAAGAGGATACTGAGAATTTACAAGTTTGGAGGTATTTGTGGCAAAATTCCCATTTGTTGAAATGTGTTGAACCCTTTCAAAGGTAGAGTGATTATATGAAATGGTATTACAAATCCACATCTGCATAATTTGTTCCAAGAACAAGCAGCCCTATATCAAACAGGTGTAACAGGTTGGTGGAATTGGTGGGACCTTGTAGCAGTGGAAGTCAACAGAGGCTGTTTCAATGCCACGTCCAAAGTACGACAACAATCTGAAGCTGTTTGCCTCTTGATCCTTTGTGAAATCTAGGCACTCCTCATGGATGTTGTGAAGTTCTACCGAACCGAAAGTAAAACAAATGCCATTCAAGAAGCGAAGCAATTTACCGGTGTCTTCATCTCCGCTCAACACTCCAGCCTGCACAGCTGCTCCATAAGCCACAGCCTCGTCGGGATTGATGCCACGGGATGGCTCCTTGCCATTGAAGAACTCCTTCACCAGGGTCTGCACCTTGGGGATTCGCGTGGAACCACCCACCAGGACAATCTCGTGGACCTCGTTCTTCTTCAGGCCAGAGTCTTCCAGAACTTGCTTGACGGGTTTCATGGTGGATTTGAAAAGGTCCTGAAACATCAAATGCCAACTGCACATTAATTACATTTGAAAAGGTCAGAGCTGAGCAGGAAATGCGATAAGTGCCACACGTAATACACTTCGACAGGTACAAGCATCCTGTCAACCAGCATGTGCACAGTTTTAAGAGTATTCAAAAAGAACGGCAAACTGACTGCTCATAAGACATCCGTCCGACCTCGCAATTTAAGGACACATAACCAAAGTGAATGGATGTGTGATTTTGAATGGGTCTAATCTCTCAGAAGTGTGTCCAAATTACTTTGCTACAACTACAATGCAGCTATAATGAATGCCTCAGTAAGAACCACTGATTGCTGCTGTAGCCTTTTCTGTATATGCTCACATTATGTCGGGCTGTAGTAGCATTCAAACCCAGGGGAAAAGTCATGATCTACTCACCATGTTCAGCTCCTCGAACTTGGCTCTCGTGAGCGACTCTGAGAAGTCCTCGCCATCAAAGAATGATTCAATCTCCACGCGAGCCTGGTGCTGTGAACTGAGTGCTCTCTTGGCCTTCTCAACCTCCCGGCGGAGTTTCTGGACAGCACGGTTGTCCTTACGTACGTCCTTGCCCTTCTTCTTCTTGTACAACTTGATAAAGTGCTCCATGACGCGCTGGTCAAAGTCCTCACCACCTGGATTGAGGGGAGATAGGATTAACACTTTCAATCTCTATGTCAGTGGGAATGCATGTTTTAGGGTCTCATCACTCTATTGTAGGGCCAAGTCAATTGGAATAATTTAGCATTCGGATGTTTGACCTTCAGTTCGATCTAATATGCACATATTCGGTCGTACTGATCAGCAGATTGTTGAAGAACAAACCATACACAAAATCAGCTGCAAGCACACAATCGTACATTATAATCAATATGATAGCTTATCATTTCTAGTACTTTCTCCAGTCATGATTTAGCAAGACTTCTTGATCTGTAAAAATTTGATTCCTTTTAAATTTTTTAATGAGTAATTTACTTCTTGAATCATTGTAAGATACATTATTCGAGTGTGCTTGAAGCAAGCCTCCACAGTGTGCTTTTTCTCATTTAAAACAAAAGAAACTTCTCCCTTCCTTTTCACGAATTCTGCATTCGAATATCCAAATTCAGAAAATAATATCCAAATATTCGACAATTGATCAAATATTCGGATATTCGGCACAGCCCCACTCTGGTTGTTAAACCACCTCACTTTAAAACAAAAGTGGCTTACGTCAACAAGTAACCAACATGGTCTTTCTTAAAATTTGCACAAACCACTTATTTTAACAATACATTTCCTAGTTGAGGAAGAGAGCAGGTCAGACTTACCGAGGTGAGTGTCACCATTTGTTGCAACAACTTCGAAGACACCATTGTCAATCGTCAGCATCGAGACATCAAAAGTTCCACCTCCGAGATCGAACACCAAGATGTTCTTTTCCCCTTCACGCTTGTCCAGACCATAGGCAATGGCAGCTGCAGTCCTGAATTGGCAAGAAAATGGGATTCATGAGTCTTACTTCCATGTGTATTATATCTAAGCAGGTGGTTACTGCTGATTAACTGCATGCTGAGGACTTCAAGATGCAATGGAGTCACACATTGGCCTGAGCTGCTAACAGCTCTACTGTCATGTAGTTAAGATGAAGGAAATGTTGGGCTCAAGATGCATGAACCCACGGATTCCACTTTGGCACTACATTGTAAGAGAACTGTTTGAACTGAATTTATTGAGGGCTTCCTTTGACAAATATTGCGTGTCAGTTGAGTAGTTCTGATGTTATAGGAGACTTGCATTAAAATCTTTCATGATAAATCTAAACGTAGAAACACCAAGACTTTGTTTAACTAAAGAGCTGGGATTGATTTTTTTCCCCACTACTTACGGCTCATTGATGATCCTCAATACATTGAGGCCAGCGATAGTGCCTGCATCTTTGGTTGCCTGACGCTGGGCATCGTTGAAGTATGCAGGAACAGTGACTACGGCATTTGTAACTGTTTTGCCAAGGTAGGCTTCGGCTGTTTCCTAAACAGAAGAATGCATCAAGAAGTTTAAATTAAAGAGTTTCATTTTATTCCGCAGCACATGACTGAGATGAAGCAAGTGCTTTGCAAGTTAACTGTAGCGTGCGTGTGTTTTATACGTGCTTGCCGTTACGTACAAAGAACTTGTGCCCAAGAAAATGGTCCACACTGCATGCAAAATACAGTCAGCAGAAACTATTCTGTTTCAATTACTTGGGCTTTAGTTTTTCAGTGTACTTCAGAACATGTAGAGTGCCATATTTGTGAGGCCTCTTTCTGTTTGAGTACTTTTATCAATACCAGCACTGTTTAAATTTCAGCATTAAATTAACTGTCAGTTATTAAAATAGTTACAGGTAGTGTCAGCTAGCAAGTTTCAACAGGGTTCCTGGATAGAATTTATAATTCTACTGTTTAGTTGCGGAAACACTCTGCAACACTTGTAAATATGATCATCTACAATTTCATTTTAATAACAATAGACAGACTTAAACAACAAGAATCACTGAATAATACTACAACGATCAAGTTCAAAAAGGTTTTGGCCAACAGTGTTGTGTGGTTCCCTTACCTTCATTTTGGAGAGCACCATAGCACTGATTTCCTCAGCGGCAAAGATTTTTCTGTCGTCACCCACGCTGACCTCAATGTGTGGCTTGTTGTTCTTGTTTTTGACCTGCAGTTGATAAGATTCAGGAAAGTAAATAACTGACAGATTTGGACAAATCCATGGTTGTTTGTGGTGCATTACAAAGGAGGTTAAGCAAGGGACATCCATACCGCTTGGGGGGTAAACTTCTGCGAAGGACAGCTCACCTTAAATGGGAAGTACTTGACGTCGCTCTGCACAGAAGGATCATCCCAGGTGCGCCCAATCAGTCTCTTGGCATCAAAGACGGTGTTTTCTGGATTGCTGGTCAGCTGGTTCTTGGCAGCATCACCGATGAGGCGTTCCCCCTCTGTGGTGAAGGCCACATAGGATGGAGTGATGCGGTTGCCCTGGTCATTGGCAATAATTTCCACTCGGCCATTCTTGAAGATTCCAACACTGCGGTTTTAAATTAAAAAATAACGGAAAACTAATCTAAAGCTTGATAAGTTACATACAAGTATCGCTCAAGTTATATGTTGGGTTCAACAAATGACAATAAATGTTAACATATGTCTGTTTTTTTGAAGATCACTCTGACAAGGTCCACCAAGTTTTGAAGAAAAAAATGGAGACTTTCAGGGTTGAACAGTCTGGGTTTAAGAAGTCATGAGGACCAGAATCATCCCTGACTTATATAGACCATCAAATTTAAGCACTGGCTGCAAATTGAATGCACCATGTTCTGCTTGGCCTACTTAACATTTGGCTTGATATAAAGTGACAAAGGAGTGTTCCACTGCGTTTGTGCAATAGCATATGTTGCATATTATAACACCTCACCTACAGATTCTGTATCTTGATTGGCTGAAAGTGCATCAAATGACACTTGCTAGTTTCACTATTTTTTGCACCGCCACTGCCAAACCCTATACCCGTAGCAACCAAAGAACGGTATCTGTAGCAACGAAACCTCATGAACAGTACCTAGGCGTGTATTTCAGCTTATCAGAGTTGTAGACTAGAGTCAGTTGGCTTGGACTCTCATCGCTATATTTGTGAATCGTGACTTGACTTGCATCTACCAGTTTTTGACTTGACTTGGACTTGTAAAAAGGACTTTCTACCTCTTCTGTAGCTCATAAGGTAAACCTGTGGGTGAGGTGTTATAAAACAAATATTGACTATTTTCCATCGGCTAAATGCTCCATGGATCATCTCAGGAGGCTAATTTTACTACACCACTTGAAGCAGTCAATATTTCTGTACTATCAGCTGGGTTCCTTAGACCTCAGGGGGAGTAATTGTTAATGACAAGGCAACTGCTGTCATAACTCCTACCAAGAATAGGTTGTTCCAAGATCAATGCCGACCACTGTGCCAACTTTTTCCTTGTCCTCGTCTTCATCCTCGTCATCAGCCCTCACCCAGGAGAGCGCGGTGACGGTGAACACCACAAAACACAGGATGACAAATGCCTTCTTCATGGCGGGCAATAGTAAGTCTGCAAATGAATTGAAATGAAGCCGTAACTTCAAATGACATCACAGCTTCACCATGCTACCCCATTTATCAGACATGCAGCTTGAGTGCTGCACTTAAGCACGAGACAGAGACTTTCTGTACCAGCTGGTGTTCATTAGAGATGCTGTGCAGTATGCCAAGGTAGACCAAGGCAAAGACATTAGTTCTACTATGATGGCTTGTCACCGGCGAACTTTAAAGTTAAATCATTATATAGCGTAAATACCTGAATGGACTTTAACACATATTAAACGAATAACGGCATATCTGTCAGTGGTGCAATTCGGTGTAAGAGTTGGCGTGTACGAGGTGGCTCAAGTAGGCTACCTGTTGACTAGCATTCGTAGATTGCACCCAGTATCAATATTTTTGCAATCCTTACGTTCAGGACCAAGCTTGTAAGATATTTGTCACAATTTCTAAATTCTAGCACTGATCAATGTCCTCCTAAACTTTACTCCTCAACTGACAACTCTTTCAGTCACGTCAATTCATCTAGGCTACGTCAGTTGTGTAAAACACTTTAAAAGGGAATGTTCCCGACACTTGCCCGAGGTTGCAAAGTAGGCCTAATTACAGATTGACAAACAACTTGTAAGAAATTGAAGATTGAGCGAAGCAGCCATGTAGACAGTGCTGATAGGGGATTCCTCCATGCTCCAAGAACTTGAAGAAGGACTGCCGCGATCCGTGCCAGCATCAAGCAATGATAATGAATCATGTGAATGCGCTTGATGATGCCTGGCATGGAATCGTGTAGGCTAATGATTAACTAGCCTATAGAATACAGGGCCACCCCTTAGAACCACTGGTTACAACGTTGCATTGGATGTGAGTGACTCCAGGAAGCAGTCCAAATCAAGTAGGCCTAGGCCTAGGTTGGTGGCTACGTGGCTATGATGCCGAAAGAGTTCTTTTTGAGAACAAAGCAACACAAAGTCAATGGAGACGGTCGAAAAAATCTAAGTCCAAACCAAGTAGCCCTGTATTCTATAGGCCCAGGCCTAGTTGTACGAACTTGTAGCTAGCTTGGCTAAGCTACATGTAGACAAGGAAAGGCCGTAAATGAGGGGAAAAGTACAATATGTCACTGTATGTGGGACTTTAAAAACTTTACACGTTTGTTTACTACATTATAATAAATTACAAGTTCGGTTTCTAAAAAATCGGAACGCCCGATCGTCTGTAAATTCATGAAACAAAAATAAAGAGCTCACTGACGAAATTTAAATCCCACCTCTTCGGTCATGCTTTATTCCTCCATGTTAAGTCACACACCGTAATCTGGTGTAGTGATCAATCTATTCTTGCAAAAATCAAGGGAATCCCCGGTTTTTCTTACTTTTACGATGAAGGACAGATACTCCTGACTTACCTCAGATTTGCACAAATTCTACAGCTCTGGAATATTATAGATGTTAACAGATCACAGACAAGAATTCTGAAAAAATGAACAATTTCTCGATGGTCGGCGAAAACGTGCAGATGACGCGCTGACACTGAGTACACGAGGTCTACGCGTTAAGCGGAATGTTCCGTGAGTATTTTTGATAACGTGTGCAAGCACATGCTGCTCGTTTTACAGGGTGACAATCCGGTCGTGGCCTTTTGTGATTGGTCAAAATCCAGCACTGTGGCTGTATCCGATTGGTCCACATGTTACTACACGTCACTAAAGAGATGATACGTCATTTTCGCCGATTCATAATCAGCTAGCTTTGCGTATACATGTACATTAATACAGATGCATCTACCACGAATAACTGAATGAATAAATTTACTCGGTAATAAACTCTAGTGTCATCTACACGGATGTTGTAATGGATTTTATGAAATTGTGAGAATAAAATATCCACCAATGACTACAGAAAAGTGATGAAATATCTTCACGATGCAATCCAAATCAACGATTGCGTATTCGACATTGTACATTTTTACACGTTTAATCAAGATTGGGAGCACAACTAGTGTGTCTATTATGGGTTCAACCAGTCAGTGGTAAAACATAAATCTACCAGTTACTGTTTTACCATAAATATATTTATCAAGTAATTGATGTGCTTTGCATAATCAATACACACACACGCTGCGCACTAAAAATGCCTTGTGTTTGAAGTTCGTTCTTGCTATCTTAGTCACAAACGCAATTTATTGTTGTCGGTGTCATTCAGCAGAAGTGACAAAATCTGGAAAATCAGTATTTTTTTCTATCAAGAGTTCTTCCAGCCATTTAAGTACTGTATTTTGATACTAAAAACTACCTGGCACAGTTTCAAAGCAAAATGTTGTTTACTTTCACCGTGATTTAAAAAAACATTAAACGAAAAGTTCGGTGTTAGTTTCTCTGCTTTACTGGGACTAAAAGTGGTTTGGTTCGGTTTCTTTTGTTTTCTTTTTTTTGGGGGGGGCTTACATGTTCGTTTTTGCAGGGAGAAAATGGTCAGAGGATGCTTCTGATGAGAGAATTCAAATTTGATGACAAAAAACGACACCAGACTGTCCGTAAATACTTCCATCCATCCAATCCGCATGTTAGCCACTTTCTGACATTTTTAAGGATTTCTTTTCGAAGAATTTGCATGAGATGGTATGGTTCAAACCCACGTCCCCGTATATCTACTGTGAAGCCACATCTCGACTTTATGCCTGCTAATTTCAAACCTGTTGACATCTCTTTCGTCAGGGTTAAACATAGATAAGCCTGTACATCATGTGCAATACTGCGCACTAGGCACTGATGGTTTAGTGGTGAAAGTCGATCCACCAACACATTATTCAATCATTAATTTCTACCAGTTAGTTTCTTTATTAAAATCTTGAAACACGTTGTTTTTAATTCCAGGTAAATATTTAAGACCCGAATATTAATTGTCCGGCGTATACCAACAAATCAGCACACTTTGGTAAGAATTCGAATACTATGGTTTATTCACCCTGTAGTTAAGCGCTATTGCTCACATGCAAAGATGTCGAGACGATAATATAAAAAAAATTCTTGCCAACATTGAAAGGATATTAATAGTCTTCACGCCTGGTGGGAGCTTCCCTTGTTGCAGTTTGGACTTTACTTCCGACTTTGAAAAACTCTTCCATATTCACGACAAATGGATTTTTCTATGTTGAAGTATGAAACAAATATTTATCAAACAGTTTGAAACGATCAAATACAAAGATCTACTGGGATGGTAGCCTTCATTCAAGCATGGTTCCCATACTCAATTGTCTTGTGTACTATTTACGACAAACATTTCTCTCTCCCTTTAGCAGGCTCCGTCCAGGCGACGCAACCAGACGACGCGACGGCACGACGGCTCCCTTGCGTCGTGCTGTCGGGTCGAACCGTCACCTTCTTGACATTTCGTTTGTACACACATGACGCGTCGTGCCGTCACCTGTCGCGTCGTGCTGTCTTAGGTCCTTTCCTTGTTGCATTTTTTTGCATAAATATCGCCCATTCCGTCGCCCGTCTCGTGGTGCTGTCGAGCGTGGCGTCGTACGTCGTGTCGAGCATCGCGTCGCCTGAACTTAGCGCGACGCGTCGTGTGCTGTCGCCCTTTACTTCATGGTATTTAAATTTATAGAGGGCGCCTTAAATGTTTTCTTTCATTTTCACGGTCCACCTTTCTTTCAAAGTATATACTATTCGCTCTTTGGTTTTGATTTTTCATTGTTTTTATCTCATCGATTCATTAATTTGGATTAATTTCTGTCATATTTTATTGAAAAATGATAAAACAGCAAAAGAAAACCCGATGTAGGAACTGCTCTCTCAAAATAAGTGGAAACCGCAAGCTCAGAATTCGTCACTCCTTTCTCAGCCAATGATTTCTTTTGCTTTCTCTCACTTCCGTCCACCGCACTTGCAAAATCCATGCCCTGTTGATTTTTTTTTGGGGGGGGTTGTTTTATCCATTCATCAAATGAATTAGTTGTTGCCATATTTTATCGAAAAAATGAAAACGAGCAAAAAGAAAATCTGCGTATGTAGGTGCTCTCACATAATAACTGTTAGCCCAGAATTCGTCACTTTTTAATTTACCCAGCTGATCCTTGTTCGAATGTCCGTCGAATTTCTTTTTAAGACCGTTGATGAAGTTCCCACTTGCGGTAGATTTGTAACTTTATAAATATTTCTTTTTGGTCCATGCCTGCAGTTTCCAAGTAGTAGTTCTCTCACTCCTCCAGACAATTTGTCTACAGTTGTACCACCGCAAGTTTGACCACGGGTTTAGGTAGGTACCACCCAGCCTGCATTATATTATTACCCTCAGAAAATTCAGTCTTCAGACTTCCTTCAGTTTAGTCTTCCTCGTTAGGTTCATCAGCACCACACTTTCAATGATATTAGTCCTTGTTTCTTAATTAAACACTGTAGATCCTACTACCAGTGTGACGGTGTATTCTCTTCCTCTTTGTTTGGCCTCGCCCTTAATTTCTCATCAGATCCGCATGTTGCATTTTTGCAAGCACGTAATAATAATTGATGTATTGTATCTTAGAATGGGTTCTCAATAATTATTAGAAAAATCAGAATTAGATCAGGGAAAGCTAAAACATCGTTGTGGATGACGTTGTTATATATTTCCTGAAGACAATGTTGTTTAGTCGCCGAAGCTCTTTCTGATTACAGTTGATTAAAAAAAAAGGGAAAAGAGTTTTCTTCAACAACTCACTCTTAATGTAAACACAAAGTTAGAAAGAATCCACGAAGAAGAACAACAGAATGAAGGCCTGGTACCTCGGCATGTACTGTGCAAGCACGGGCCGGGGGAAGGAAATGAAAGAAAACAGTACAGGCGCCCTCTATAAACAACATGAAAAACACCATCATGTTCCAAAACATGTATTATTCTTAACGAATGTGGATTGTATTTAATTAGGGGCGTCATGATGTTAAGTTTGAGTGAGAATCCCCTTGCACTGTTAGACTTGCATGACATAACAATACATGAAATCAACACTCCAAGTCAAGACCTCTCACATCTACTCCTGCAAAACACTAATTTATTTCTGCTTCCTAAAAATTAAGAACCACTTAGTTAGAAAACCCCATATACATAAGGCAGAACACCAATCTGTTAAATTTCACATTAATTTGATTTGGTAAGAAGTGATTTAGGAAAATGACTCTTTAAAACGTTCCAAAACAAGACTGACAGCTGCTATTTACATTTTGATCTAGCATTCATTATATATTGATCACGGTCGAGTCGCACAAACAAAAGAAAAAGCCTAAAAGTGTTTGATAAGAATATCCTCGCGTTAAAGCAGTAAGCCATTTTAAAGCCATTACAAATGGGCAACTGGATTTGTTTAAATGCCAATGAGTATTTTTACAGTGTCTTTTCTGGATGGGGGTTTATTTCAATGTCATTTTATGGCAAACTGAGTGTGTAATATCAAGAAAAATAATGTCCAGACTAAAATTGAATTCGTGAGTGCTCCCTTCATTAAAGCATTACATGTGTTTTCACAGATGGCAGTGCAAGCAAAAATGGCCATGTTAAAATGAAAATTGGTTAAAATTCATTTCAGTCATGTTAATTTGTAACCAGCTACAACCAGTAGATAAATCAATAGCCCTTTCCCACCACATTTACGTTTTTCAATCATTTCAGTCTATTGTTATGGTGTTTACACAATCCCTTTCTTTAGTTTTCCAACAAAAAAGGGCTCATTTAAAGGTATTCAAAATTCAAATATTTGCTAAGAGATAGTTTCAAATACTTGCATTTTGAGAAATTCTCAAATATAAGAACTCTCTTCAGTCAATGAAAGGATTTCCACAAAATGGAAACATTTCAAAGACAGGTATGAGGCTAAGATATAAATTTGCTTTACTACACTTGGCACCTCAAAAAGTTCACATCATGTCATCAAGAATTGTGTGACTGACAAAAGTTGATACTGAATAAAACTCAATACAACATTCAACCATTAAAATAGAAATACATAAAATGTGTCTGTAAGTTGTTAAAGTGGCCTGAGTTCTGCCTTCACTATGTAAAAAATTCACAATAAAATACTGTTAATATACATGTTTCAGAAACAAAAGAAGACAGGGGGAGGATTCGTACCCATGAATTTTAGAAAACTAATAAACTGGTCTGGTTTATGAGCAAAATCTTGTTAAGGCAATTGAGGGAAGGCAGATGTGAAGATTTCTGGAATCAGAAGTCAAGAATTTTTTCAAAAAGCCTGTCTACCTGTTTGTCAGTGTGTTTTGTATCGGCAATGCCACAGTCAGTAGTTGTGAAATCTGAACAAGCCAGGTAACCTGGGATTACATCAGCCCAGTAGCAAGTGATGTGATCATGTTGGAACAGCAGCTCAGTTCACTGAGACAAACAGTAATACACAAGGTACGCACACTTTTACCACTGCCACTGTGAATGTCAGGTGCAGATTTGTTACATATAAATGAACTTAGAGATTAAATTTGTTCCTCCTTGTAAACAAAAAAAGTCAGGTAGAGTGAATTTTGCACAATGTAATCTCTATAAAGCACAAATGTGTCTCCTTGTGAATATGACCACCAGACCGACATGCCGTTTACATGAAATGTACCCCGCAAAGATCACTGATTTGATTTCTATAGATTTGGTCAGACCTATTAGCATCTGACAACCTGTTGATTTCACCCCAAAAATAGAAATGTGAAAACGTGATGATTTGGAGCCAAATTTGTCCTTTTGTGACAACAGTGAAGATTTCAATCCCAGCATTCTAAGTGAAACAGAAAGAGCAAACAAGCACAGCCAAAATGTCAGTGTTTGCCCTTCACACATGAAAACTGTTAATGATATATATTTTTTCTTTAATTCTGTGAGTAGCACAGCGCACAGAAACCAGTGGAATTTTAGAAGCTGCAAAGGCACTACCTTTACACTATGGTCAAAATTTTAGTGGACTGTCGGATATTATGAAGGTCCACTGAGTTTTGTTTCACACTAATTATCGTTTCACGATAAACTTGGTATGCAGAACAAAGCATGAGATAATGCATGCTTGGTTATCACATTACTGAACCAACTTCATAGGGGCAAATGCAATTTTTCCGGATTCTTTTCCTTTTTCTTTTTTTGGCCTGACCATCCACAAAACTAAACCAGGAGTGCCCCAGTAGTTACAAGTAAAAATACAGGTTGGGGACCTTGCACATCTGTCAAATACTACTTGGAAACATAAATCATCATTTCTGTTCCCTCCCCCCAAAACAAGCTCAGTATAAGTAGGTGCTATACTAATGTCTTGCGTACAAGAGATGTCCTGCTGGCTAGTTGTCCCAGAAGTGCCTGATGGACTGTGCTCGATTTGGGGACGAAGAGGTCCTGCCGTTGGCTCTGCTTGGCATTCTGTTCTCACCCGATGCAACCTTTGAGGACAAAAAAATCCCAATGGAGATACATGTATTATTACTGACTGCAATTGAGTCAGGCCTTCTTGATTTTCTTTACTCTCAAAGCTGGGCTACATCCCGGATTCTGGCTTCACCTTTGTCAGTGAGCCAGTTCAGTATTTCAACAGCCCATGCTCAAAATGAAGCGCGTGCAAGGTCACTCGGATGCCCGTGCGAAGTCGCTCAGATGCCAGTGCGAGGTCGCTCAGATGCCAGTGCAAGGTCACTCAGACGCCCGTGCAAGGTCACTCGATGCCCGTGCAAGGTCACTCGGATGCCCGTGCGAAGTCGCTCAGACGCCAGTGCGAGGTCACTCAGACGCCAGTGCGAGGTCACTCAGACGCCAGTGAGAGGTTACTCAGACACCCGTACAAGGTCTGCCAAATCAGCACCAACCTACTCGCAAGCATGTGTTGTTCCCTGATGACTTCGCTTTTTTAAATACCAAACTATCTTACAAACATCCCACTAATTTTCTCAAGTGTTGTAATGATTGAATTGAATGATAATATCTGCCGACTTTGGTCTCATATGAGACAGTCTGTTTCTGCAACTCTCAACTCAGGAGTCTATTAGTTCGTCAAGCCTCACTTCGAAGCCAGAATAAATCCAAAACTTGGAAAACCCTAGGACAGCATGGTTCTTGTCACTGGTGGCAGAAGCAGGGGCCTTGGGGGGCCAGTAGCCCCAAATACACTGGGGGAGACCTCCCACTCAAGGTAGGTCCTATATTGGGGTTAGGCTTAATGGCTGATGCCTGCTAGTATCCCAACTAGCCCCCTCACATACACTTTGAAACTCGTTCCGTCACCATTGGTTTTTGTAATCCCTGAAATATATAGATGGTTACAACTATTGAAATAGCCTTTCACTATGCCATCATTTATCTTTGTAAACTCCAGATCCTCCTGTTTTCGCCCTCACTAATTCTTCTCGATTTAAACCTTAGGATGAGTCGGGCGGGTTGTTCTCGTATTTTCACAAAAAGCTTGATTTCTTGTTCGTGGGTTGACTGCTTGAATGCCAGGAACAAACAAATGGTTATTGCTGGTAGTTAGTGGTAAGCAATGCAACATGGCGGTGTCCATGTACGTTATTTGAGAGTTAATGTTTGGATGACTGGGCTAAATTCTTTTCTATTTAACAGAAACCTTCACTTCTGTGTTGCAGCAAGGAATTTATGTTAATTTTACAAAGCTTCTCATTATCTCTGGCTTTATAGGCTATCTCTCTACTTTTTGCAGCTGTTCAAAAATCAAAATCTCACGAGTGTTTCCATGTGTTCGTGCAAAACCCTGACGAGATGGTGTGTGATCTTGTTCCAAGAACAGTGTTCTTGAGTCAAGTTCCGGCCGTTCAAGCGTCGAAGAAGAAACCTGTGTCAAGAACAGGCCGCCCAAACTCGACCTTAGTGTCACTTTTGAGAGGGTCAGACCACGTCACCACTGTGCGAATATTTCAGGATACATATATATTAGGTGGAAAGTTCTAACAAACCATTAATTACATCCTAATCAAGAAGAAGAGATAACTGGGACTTTAGTGGGATTTCTCTTGTAGTTTAGAGAGTGAAAACTAATTTTCTAACACTTCTAAAAGTTAAGGTTTGTCTAAAACCTTATCACTCAGGCAAATGACCAACCATAGATGAACAATCCTAATAATTTCACCATCCTGTATCAATATTATCACACACCTGCGACATGCACGTAACAGTGCACCCGTACATGTACTTGTTCTGTAGTTGTGGGGAAAACCACTTGTTATTACATCTATTTCATGGGGACTAAAAATGTCTTGGGAACCAAGAAATGTTCCAACAACTCGGTCCTAATTTGCCAGAAAAATAAATGGCCCGTTAACTCTCTGAAGGCATGCCTACAGCATTTTGGGACAACTTACCCTTCTCCGTTCATTTTGGTGTGCTTCCAAGCCGGTGGCCAGGTACGGTTGAACAAACTCTCTGTCAGACAGTCTGACTGGGGAGGCCAACTCTGATCTTCTCTGGTCCTTCAAGTACCATGAAAAGGCATTTCCAAAAATGCAATTTCAGCTAAAAAACATATGCACTGATGTTTGGGATATGTAGCTTACAGATAACCATTGGCAGTGTATGTTTATAAAAGTGTGCTTTTCCCATCGAGGAGAGGTTAGAGGTTTTTGTTTTGTTTTTCAAGATTGACCAGCATATCCATATTTCTGTATTTTCTTTAAGTTTTCACATTAAGAGTTTTGCTTCTCACAGGTGATTTGAAATATCACAATCTACATATCTTCAGAGCCTCCTAGGATTAGAAAAACTCCTTAACTTCATCACCGGAGATAAACAGAGAAATTGACAAGCAGCTAGTCCAATGGTGCAATGGTCATCATGGTCTTGACTCTTACCCGGTAATACGGTGACTGGCTGATGTTTTCGGCCAGGTACTGCATCTGTCGGTCCATTTCAGTAAATCCGCCATTCCCATGGTGCCATTCACTGTGCTGGTCACTCCTTGGCGTGAGATACTTCATGTTGCCATTGACCACACTGCTGTGCAGTCTACTACGGCTTCGTTGATGCAGGTAAATGCACAGAATGAACATGAAGCCCACGAGGACGAGCACAGCTATGCCGGCCAGCGAAATGAGGATAATGAGAAGTACCATCGTGTCCGCTGGAAAGAACCAAAACCACAATTGAAAGTCTCCATTACAGCATACAGCATTGATACTTCATTTCTGACTCAATCAATATAGATCTTTAATAGTAGTGAACCGATCAGTTTGGCTCCACCTCGTCATGAATATGCAAGAAGTATCATAAAGTCAGCTATCATGTCACTCGCAATTATTAAACTCACAATCTGGTGAGTTGGTAATGTTTCCATCAATTATTTCCGTTATCACTCCACCATTGCCAGATCCTGGTGTTGTGGTGTCTGTCATGTCGTCTGTTCCCATAACGTCACATCGGGCACCAATATATCCATCAGGACACCTATTAAGATAATACCAAAAAGAGTGAATACAATACCCAATGTGGATGTTTGATTTTTCAATTAATTAATACCTTCTCAAGCTTGCATACCTGAGTCATTTTGAAAAATCCTGTGTGGCACCACAAAATGTCACAACCTCTGTGGTGTATTGTCTTGCAAAGGTTTTTTTTCCTTTCAGAGTTATCTGGTAGACATGATAAAGACGTGTTGGCAGAACCACTGCTTTAATGTTCTGTGGATTGGCTGAAGACAAACTAACACTGGCACATGAAGGGGTAACTACATGTATAATGATATGCCAGTTTTTGGTGCAACCAATGATAACATATATCCCCGGCATAAAATGTGTAGCTACATGTGAAATGAAGGACAGCAATTATGGGCCAAAAGGCCACCAATTGGGCCAATTAGGGCCAATTAGGCCAGCAAAATCTGAATCAAACTTTGCAATTCAGCATATTCCAAATCAAAAAAATTCCGGCACGACATTGTTTGTTGAAAGTCTGATACTTCATGCACACTTACGTGCAAACAATCTGGTTGGTGATGTCCACTGAACAGATTGCCCCATTCAGACAGTGACCATCAACACATATCAGGCGAGTTACTGTTGAAAGAAGCAAGGCATTCTGACTCTGTTTTCAACAAATCATGTTTTCAACAAATCATACAGAATGTTTCCGAAATGAAAATGGCCAATCATGGAGCAAAACAAAGAACAGTACAATTAGAGACACAATTGACAGATATTTAAAATGTAATGCCCTTGTGCCAAAGTGGTAAGGTTGGAGATCTATGCATTCGGATGGCAATCAGACAAATAGACTCTACATTTACAAATACAAGGCATACAAAGTGTGTCTGAGATCACAATGGCAATAGCAGTGGGACAATTTTCAAAGTTGTGGGGGAAGGCGGGCATTTGAAAGACCATCAGGAATCAGCCATTAATAGACCGATCCACTATGCCTTACCTCATTATAGGACGTGCCAAAAGAGGGTGGAGATGTTCTCATTTCACAACATGGCTTCCATATTATTATGCATCTTTAATGTCCAATCAAATTTATGCACACAGTGTATGTATTCAATTTACCCTAACAATCCCAAATCCTCCGACTTCAATATGATTTTACGTTCACACTAGGGGTTAGGGTTAATATATGTATTCAACTAATGCATCTTTCTGTGGACAATTTAAGGAAATAATTTAGACTGGCACAGAGAGTGCCATTACCCCTTCTGGACCAGATAAGGCCATCAAGCCATCCACTCAAGGGACAATTAAAATATATTCAATAATAAAAAGCAGTTCCTCAAGTTGGTTCAGTTGGTACAGAGACACAAGTGTTAGAATCTTTCATTGCAACAACTTCCTTCAACTTTAGAAATAATTCTATCCACAAATCTATTATTTTACAATTGTACGTCTTTTACTTTCATCACAAAATTTACCTCTCATTGTGATCTTGAGTGGGATTCATCCCCCCAAATTTATCCCTATGGTAACCTAGCCCCTACATTCTGTTAGCCATCTGTTTGTTCACAACACACTGAGTCAGTTCATGTGAAGTGGTTTACCTGCCAAAGTTAAGGATGAAACATCAGCTGACAAGCTTCCTGTATTTTCACTAAGTGCAGTTGTCACAGCATTTTGGAACGTGTTACCCTCAACGGGCGCGTTCAGTTGAAACATGGCTGCAAATACCGCCAGAACAAAACCGGAAACTGCCCTCTTGCGTCTCGTCTGATCACTTTCAGTGAATTCAACCACCTGACAGTTCTGGAAGTTTTCACGGAGTTCGGAATTTGATTCTGAGGCAGCCCTGACCTGCAACAATGAGGAAAATATGCATCGAAGGGAATAAACATCAACTATCAAATTCATGCCAATTAAAAGAGAAAAATGGTACCTCTAGGGTAGGGGTCAAAATTTACAGGCTACAATGTCATATCAAACACAGCGCATGTCCTAATTTTACCCCGGACTGTCAAATGCTTGAATGTTGATATGCTCCATGGAGACTGTTAGGTTCCCCAAAATGTACAGTGAACACCTACAAAACGCACTGTAAAACTTACAAATATTCATTCAGGTGCCATAGGTAGGAAAATAGTTTTGGGTATTACTTAGAGTACCACTTTCAATGATATTTTGTTTTAATTCTTCCAATAAAAGTGCCAAATTGAACATTTCAATTCATTCTCCTACATTAATCAGTTGCCAGTGATAACTGGTGACTGGTAAATATGATTCTTTTCTTTAATTTCTGGTATGTACCACAACCTTATTTTAACTTGTGGAAAAATGTGGCAAACAAGTGTGAGATTTTTAATTTGGTCATAAAAAGTGAAGGTATGTTACCTTACCAGAAATATCAACTTTGTTTGTCTAAACATGCTACTGTCATTGGAAACAATGAAAAAAACGATATCTTTCCAAGGCACAGCAGCTAAGCAACAGTTTGATTCAATCTTTCCGCATGCATGTTCCTCTCATGCTTTGCTTACCAGCGCACAAACAAGTCTCTCCACAGCAATAAACTGGGGTGAGCTGGGGTCTGCCAGGGCAGGCACGTAGCGGGCTGCAGATGAATTCCCATTGATGGCATTGATCACAAAGCTACCTCTGAAACTGGTAAACACTGCAAAGTCAAAAACAGTGAGGGAAGAAATGATCAGTGGTCACTTGGGATGCATGCAGTTCTGTGCAAGCTGGTGCGAGTTGGTGTCCCATCCACTTTATTTTGTGGCCAAATCTCATACCACTTGACTCAAGTTCAAGCCCCCTGACTGAGATCATTCAGTCGGTGTTTTAGTTTACTTCTTTCGTGAGGCAGATGTTTCATCAAGATTTTGACAAGAGACAAAAATCTGCCAATGAAATGATTATTGATACATGCAAGGTTTTGTGGCCTCTCAGCAGAAGCTGTCGCAAACTAAATGCTGTTAACTCCCATAGACTCCCTACAAGGCTGTACAGTTTGTTTCAAACTGTTCGCACAGCACACTTGTTGCAGTTTCTAGGGGTTGCTTTGTATAAATTACCAAGTATCAATTATGTAACGAGTAATAATTGGACCTATGTGACATATTTGCACCGATATTCATCAGATCATCTAAGTATGTTGAACTTGCGAAACTGCCGCGAACAAAACTGCTGTAATGTCAAATATCTACAGTTAAGTTTAGAGTGACCCAGCCTTAATTATACATGTATCAACTGCTACATTACATTACTCATGCAGCACTCAGCCAGATTCAAAGTGACCTCATCAAAAGAAAAATAGGAATGAGATTTTTTTCTAAATGAATGTTTACAAAATTAACAAAAAGACAACTTACACTGACAAGTCCCATTGACTTCAGCAAATCCTTCTAAGATATTGCATACACAGGAGAAACTACCCTCCACATTCAGGCACGTCTCCCCATAGCCAGTGCATATGTTAGGGTCAGTCACACATTCATCTATATCTATAAGGCAAAATAAACATGTGCATTGTTTTAGCGGATTGAATAAGGTGCATGGGTACAAATTAATTAATGCATGAAGCACCATATTATGTCCACCTCCGCTGATGGAACGCACAAATCATGACTTGCTGTGTGTGATGTTGCTTAAAACTGTACTCTGCAACTACATCAGTTGTAGAGGAATCATTGTGCAAACTGGTTATCACAATAACAGCCCTACGAATACAGTTTCAAGACAGAGATGTCCTCGGTAAAGGGCTGTAAATTGAACTCTGTACCCAAGCACCTGACCACTTGGCCCAGAACTTGTTCAAAATTATCGAACTGGGTTCTCATAAACCGAAATTACCAAGCAAAACAAGACCATGAAAAAGAAAGGTTTAGAAATTCTTTGGTAAGAAATTTTAAAGCAAAAACTAGCTACATAATCCTTCCCGTAATTGTTAATGGTATTTTGTGCACTCTCATTTGGCACTGACAATGAATAAATACAAACAGCAGTAATTCTGTAACCATTTTCAATGTATAAAGGTTGTTAGGAAGCATTTTGGGAATGGCAAAATGGAGAGCATTTTTCACACCACCTTTTTTTTTCTTTTCTTTCTCTCGTTTTTTCTTTAAATTTTGGAATGGGCTCCTTTTACAGGTATCCGGGGTAACCGTGCCATGCTGTATGGGGAACCTTGCCTTGGGTATTCTACAAGAGATGCGCCTTTTCTGCACAAACAATATATCAATGGCAACAGCATACCTGTGCACATTTCTCCATCCCCAGAAAATCCTCCATCACACCGGCAGTCAAAGCTGCCATCAGTGTTGGTGCACGTTGCATTCTGATAGCAGTTGCTTAGACCCCGGGAACACTCGTCTATGTCGGAGCAGCTGGTGAGTCCGTCACCTTCGTAACCAACACTGCAAGTACAGGTGAAACTACCCACGGAATTCTGGCACATGCTGTTGGCAACGCAAGGAGGCACGGTGAGAGAACACTCGTTCACATCTGGAGCAGAACCAAAATAACCTGACGATTCATTTTCCACAATATGAAATCTTCAATGAAACAAGTACTGAGTTTGGACACTGTCAGAACTGTGTAATGGACAATTTTTGTTTCACAAACTGACAGGTGGTTGTGCACCTGCACAACAACAAACAATGACGTGTTGTAAAATCATTTTGGTTGTGACTAACTGATATGCAGGAATGCAGTGGATGCACCTTTTGGGGCAAAATGTTTTAAAGAGGTGTTAGTTTTACACAAATTTACTCTATCCACATACTAGTGAGATAAAGAAAATCTGTATCAGGAAACATTTTATCTTAGGAAATTCAGAAAACTTAATTTGTGAGAACAAAAGTGCAGTGAATGTGTACACGCAGTATTCAATTCTCAAAACCTCCACATCACTCCAATTTTACAACATTGGGTATGTCAACGACAGGCACTGCCTGCCTTGTTCCCTTTTCAGCAATAATTTCATATCTTAACTTATATATCTTTACCATTGTTTTTTATACATACCAGTATTATGGTTGTAATTTTTAACCTTGTTTACTGGCTGCAAATTCATATCTAAAATTATTACAAAATCTGCACATCCGTCAGGTCCAAAACCTGAGATAAAAAACTCTGCGAGAAAAATTCTCTGGAAGACTCAAGCGAATTGTGCTGATTTTTTTATGTTCTTATCGTGACCAATATCATTTAATATTTACGGAAAAACAAGTGAAGTTGATGCCTGTTGGTGCGCAGATGAAAGCTAACCTTTCTTGCCCTTTTATATAACAACCTTTTAACTCATTTCTACCTCCATGGAGCAAGAGTGATATTCCATTTGAGAACTTACTTTCATTCTGTTTCACCCATTTCAACCGAATGAAATATCATTTATAGTTCATGAAAACCCAAAATGTCTGTTTCTGCAAATTTTGTGCAAATATTACAATGAAGTACTCATGCTAAATAAGTTTTTGTGCCACTAACGAAATCTTCACTTTTCTTTTGAATGGCCCAGGTTCTAGGTACCTTGGTAGCTAAACAGAGTTTTTAATTATCTGGATTTAAAAATTTTTTCCTCATCAACTCAATCAAGAGCCTTTGAAGACACTGAAAAAGCAACATGTACATACGGGGCAACTTTGAAACGTTGATGCCAAGTATGTACCTGTGCATGTTTTTCCATTGCCGAAGTATCCCTCGTTGCACTCGCAGATGTAGCTGCCGTACAAGTTGGTGCACATGGCATTCTGGTCGCACACGGCTGGGTCTTGCAAGCATTCGTCAATGTCGGTGCAGCTGGTGGTGCCGTCACCTTGCAAACCAGCATTACACTGGCAAGTGTAGTTGCCCGCCAGGTTGGTGCAGGTAGCATTGCGATCACAGAGGCTGGGATTCTCCAAACACTCATCTATGTCTGTGCAGTTATTGAAGCCATCACCTTGGTAACCAGCATTGCAAGTGCACACTAAACTTCCCGCTGTGTTCTCACACATGCTGTTTTCAGCGCAGCTACCAGGTAATGAACAGCCGTCCACATCTGAAAAACACATTTTTTAAAAGTTTCCCGTTTCAGTGCTTTCTATTTATCTTTTTCAGCAATGTTAAGTCTACAAAAATGGGTGGACAAAGCATTTGATAAATTTTGCAAAATAAAAATAAATGCAAGCAACCTTCCATGTACAAAAAAATATTGAATTAATTAAAGCAAATGATCAGCATGCACCTTCCGTGGTTCCCTCCACTGGGACGGTGATTCCGGCTGTGGGCCCTGCCTGTTCATCTGCAGCTGTGCTATCGGCAGCTGCTGCAGTTACTTCCAACGGGGCAGCAGTTGCAGCATCAACAGCAACATTGCCCTCCGTTCCTGTTGTATCTTCATCAGACAAGGCTTGAGTTGCTTGGGGTGGATTGTGAGTGACTATTTCATTGGTGGCCATTTCAAATTCCATGGTGACATCAACCATGTCAGTTCTGCTTTGTGTTGCTGCCTCCACCTCGTCAGTTGCAGTCTCAGCTGTTTCTGCATCCTTGTCTCCAGTCATCCTGGTTGCCATGGTAACAAACTCCTCATCAGCTGTGCTTTGTGAGGCTGCCCCAACCTTTTCAGTGGCTGTCTCAGTTGTCTCTGCATCCTCATCACCAGTCATCCTGGTTGCCATGGTGACAAACTCCTCATAGGCTGTGCTTTGTGAGGCTGCCCCGACCTCTTCAGTGGCTGTCTCAGCTGTCTCTGCATCCTCATCACCAGTCATCCTGGTTGCCATGGTAACAAACTCCTCATCAGCTGTGCTTTGTGAGGCTGCCCCAACCTCTTCCGTGGCTGTCTCAGCTGTTCCTGCATCCTCGTCACCGGTTATCCTGGTTGCCATGGTGACAAACTCATCAGCTGTACTTTGTGTGGCTAGCCCAACCTCTTCAGTGGCTGTCTCAGCTGTCCCTGCATCCTCATCCCCAGTCATCCTGGTTGCCACGGTGACAGACTCATTGGCTGTGCCTAGTGTGGTTGCCTCGTCCCCTCCAGTAGCAGTGTCAGCTGTCCCTGCATCCTCAACATCAGTCATCATGGTTGCTATGGTGACAGGTTCATCAGCTCTGCTTTGTGTGGCTGCATCCTCCTCTCTGTCCATCATTTGGGTTGCTGAATCACGCATCCCCGTGGTGATCTCAACCCCAGAGGTTACTTTTGCCAATATTGTTGCCTTAGTTGTTATCAAAACTTCTGTATTGTTAACATCAATGACAAACAAATATAAAACAATGTTCTATTTGTATGTTTTACAAAAAGTATCAAACTATCCTAAGTTTTGTTCCGGTTCGTAAGTGACTTCATCACAAAGGCGGACATGCCACGATTTGCAGGCTCTCATTGGACAATCGCTGAAGTTGCGGGTTAACTTCTGGTTCCATGTAAACAGCAATCAATGCATGTAACCCTATGTGCAGTGCACGTGTGCAGTGGGCGTGGTTTAAACTGAAGTGATGTGACATTACGAACCGGATACAATTTAATTTTATGTTGCAGCATTATTACATTTCAAGGACTAATGATACCAATTTTGGGGGCAAAGTCTATGGTGGTGTCAGGCAAAGCAGCAGAGCAGTTATGACTTGAGTAGATTGCAAGATGACTCCACCATTGATGGGCCAAACCAGTGTTTCAGTGGCTTCCCAGTGATGAGGCAAATAGATGGTTGTGAATAAACTGAGCAAAATAAGTAACAAGTCACCAGACTTTGCTTTGAGCATATCTCCAGCAATGGACACACATGTAGGTCATCGATGTTTGTGGCCAAGAAAGCGACTGTCATTCTTGTTTCACTCTCACACTGATAACATAGAAATCTTGAGTTGAAGTTTGATTGCATGCAAATACCTTGACAGGTAAATCCATCGCCTTCATAGCCGTCCAGGCAGCGACATGTGTAGGAACCAGGGGAATTTACACACATGGAGCCGACATCAGAACAGTTGTTGCTCATGGTGGAATTGCACTCGTCAAGATCTAACAACCAGAACAAATTATAACTGACTTCCTTTCAACTAATGGCCTGTTTTTCTGGATAGCAAGTCGACTCAAGGCCGGTTCACACTTCAGACAAAGGCCAAAGCATGGCAAAGTTGAGGTCAGAACATGTTGCAGGAAATTTGTTGGAAAATCTAAATATACAAAACTGCACATATTTGTGTTCAATTTCTTGCCGAGTATGCACAGGTCTATATAAAGTTGAAATAATAAAAAATTTTAAACCTGTGGTTGGAATGGAAAGGTCATCAGTTTGTCTGGTCTTGAAGTGGGGTGAACTGATGCAATTATTGTAATAAAACTCCTTGTTTAATAATACCTATCTTGAGCATATTTGTAAGTTGTAAAGTGAGAAATGTCAAACAGTGTATTTTCAGAGCACAAACCAAAATGCTGCCAAAATGCTGAATTTTGTTCAAGTTCTGAAAATTGCACATGATGTCATACCTTCACACATGGTTCCATCACTGACAAATCCAACATCACACTGACACAGGTAACTTCCTAACGTGTCCTGACAAACACTTCTGCCGGTGCAGCGAGACAAGCCCTCCTGGCACTCATCAATGTTGCTACAGTTGTAGCCGTCGCCCCTGAAACCTGCCTCACATCTGCAGACGAACTGGCCGGGAACGTTTCTGCAAGTTGCAAACTCCCCGCAGTCCGACGTGTTCCTTGCACACTCGTCAATGTCTAGGGGAAGAGAAAACAATGCTTAGCAAACAGGATGCACCAAAAATAAATATAACACTGCAAAGTGGTCATTTGTGATCTGCTGGGAAATCCTACCTAACCACAAAGCTCAGCAGAACCAATTATTTTTTTATGTCAGTCCCAAGTTTTACTGAACACTGTATCTAAGCTTGGAAATTAAACTTGTACATTTAACACAATAAGTTAGTCAAGCTTGTCTGAGGTAATAAGTTCTCAGAGCAGGTACACATCTTTTGCGTGATGAATTCAATCTCCAACAAAAATCCTTGATAAATCATTTCGTCTCTTTACTGGCAATTCGTGTAACTTTGCCTTCAGTGGAATTTCTTATGGATTATGAACCCAACACACATACACAACATACATAAAGTGTACTTACCCACGCAAGTTTCATTTTCGTTCTCATACCCCGCTGAGCAGCTGCACTCGTAACTGCCAACATTGTTCTGACAATCCATTTCTGCTGTGCACACAGGAGGCATTGCCAGACACTCATTTATATCTGTGGCGTTGGAAAAATAAACCCACCAAGGGTTGAGGAAAATAACATGTCATCTAATACCAGAATTCAGAGAGACATATGCCTGTCTGTAAACTAGAAGTAAGAAGAAAAGGTGCCTAGAACTGATACAGAAATCATCCAATATTACCCCAATCCAAATTGCAAAACAGGTGTTGTCTGGCACCAAGGTTCAAAATTAGGAACATGTACATGTATGTACATGTAAATGCTCTTGCATGCCCTCTTGTGGAAAGGAATAACTAGTGCCCATTTTCAAAAGACTAATTACAACTTGTTGGCCAGTGTATCACAAGATCTCAAAGCGCACTGATTCTCGTAACAAAGATTCTTGTCTGAAATAAAGAGGGTGAAAGCAACATCTTTCTGTTAAGTTATTTCAGTACTTAGTCCACTGGCTTAAGGCAGGTCCAAATGTCTTCTTCGTAGACTAAATGCCCGCAAGTAGGGGCTGCAGTGAGGTTAAGCCCAGTTTCGAACCCTGAGCAACACATACCTTAACGGTTACATGGGAAAACTTCTTAAGGGCCAACAAATTGCATTCTTGACCACTAACCTCGGTAAGTTGATTTATAACACAGAATGTGTTCAAACCACTACAAACAAAAACCCACTAAGGATATACCTTCACAGAGGGTCCCATCCCCGTTGACGTCGGTGTAGCCTTCAGGGCAGTAGCACACATATGCTCCTGCTGTGTTGTTACAGACGGCAGCCATGTGACAGTTGGTCCCATTTGCCTGCATGCACTCGTCGACATCGGTGCAGTTGTGCATGTCCTGATCAAGCACGTAGCCACTGTTGCAGGAGCAGTTGTAGCCCCCTAGGAAGTTAGCGCACAGCTGGGAGCATGGGGAGCCCCCAGGGGCATTACACTCATCCAAATCTGGTAGAACAAGTTAATGCAGTTAGTAAAAACGTGCACAGGATGCGGTACCACCGGTTCTTGTCAGAACCCCACATGCTCAAAAAGATATACATCCATGGTGCAACTGCAAACCTATCTAATTCATGAAAAGCTTCAAATCTCATATAACTGCAGTTCTAAGCAAGTTTCAATTAATGTAAATGTTGGCTCTCCCCCAATGTCGTTTGTCATACCCAATGCACGCCCGATGGAGGAAAGACCTACCATAGCAGGTAAACCCATTGCCCTGCAAGTTGTCAGGGCATGGTCCACATGTGTTTGTCACCTCTGGTGGTGGTAAGTCGATGCAAGTGACGTTATCAAAGCACGGGCTGTCTTGGCAAGCATTGAAGTCAACTTCACAAAAGTCACCTGACCAGCCTGGGGTACAATTGCACACAACCACCTGCATACAGACCACGGGACACACATCAATGTTGTAGTCGAGACCACTTAAGACCTTCACAAGACCAACACAAGACCTCCAGTCTGAATTCAAGTCACAAGCCATTCAAATGAACTGCAACAAAAGCATTCCTTTGTCATTTCGTTCACCCAGTTACCTGTGACTTGTCTTGTGCATGGTCTTGTGTCTGGTCTTGTGATGGTCTGGACTACAACACTGACACACATGAATAATATATATCAAAGTTGGATAGTTTGGAGTAGAAGTGTTTTCAATGTGGACCAAAACATGCTCACACAAGTGAATGTGACTGTAGGCATATGAGTTTTTCTTTTTTTTAATAACTGGTCCAATGGGAAGCACAAACAAAGGTACACCTTGAAGAGTTGCTCAGGAAAGCCAGAGGGTTAAGGTTTTTTTTTTTCGATTAACAAACATGGTTACGGTACCACTCTCAGAGAAAAAATTGCACCTGTTTTAAGGCAATAAAACGCAGTCAGAATCCTGTCATTTGGGGGAAAAAGTGTAAAAGAATGCTGTTAAGTTTGCTGGATTCCGAAATATGTGATGTGTAAAGAGTAACTTGTTCAAGCTAGGCTTAGTATTGACTGCTCTCGAATAAAAATGAGCTACGTTAGGTTCTGTCACAACACTCTCGTCAAACTGCCTTTCATATCAAGAACCACACTGTAACTTTTTATGTCCATGTTTCACAGTTACATGAAAACAATACAAACTCAGAGTGATGGTCAAGTCCATCAATATCATTTAGTCTCAAGTTACAATTTCATCAAAAATGAATTGTGACGGGGGTACTCCAACTCTCCCTACCCTGTTATTACTGAACCAGTTACAGATTTTGGATTTCAATTTGTGATGAACCTGCTTTGAACTCCAAAACAATACGAGTGATTCACAATAGTGCGCCCCCAAGAGTCTGCTACATGCTGGCCAATTACAACACGCCAAATTTGTTGACCCTTTCCGAACGCGCATTGGGTTGACAGATTTCGCGCACTGTGATTGGCCAACATGTTACAGAATCTTGGTGGCGCACTATTATGAATCACCAGTATTCTATGGAGCACGGGCACGAACACTGAAAAGTGAAACAAATGTCAGGTGAGCCTTACCGCAAAATTGTCTTTCATGATGTTTGTGTTCTCGACGTACTGATCATACAGGCAGGTCCCATTGTTTTGACAGTTGCAGACTTTCACAGTTGGTTCAAACACAGCATTGGCCGATCCATCACTGGCCCTGATGCCAATGCTAACTTTGTTGACGTTGGCAGGATTCCAGGTAAAAAGACCGGCTGTTTGATACATATAAAAGAATGCATTTGGTCAATAAACAAAGGAAATTACTGACACTTAGGAATAATTATCAGTGCTTTTGTATCATTATTTCATTGGTATGTCATAGAGACAAGGATTTCCAAAGAAACTTGTACACAGATGCTCACTATCTTCTCTTAGTAATGTACGTGGAATCTAATATGACCAAACCATGCAATGTATTTGCAAAATCAACTAGCAGAAATGCAGTTTGTGTTCCTTGACATGGTCCTTCCATGAACTCTTGTTATTCATGCACCAAAATTCTTATTCTCAGAAATTCTCCAGGAGCTTTGGAGAAGTTGAAGCAGTCAAGGTTAGCTTTACACAAGAGATGATCCTTGAAAGTATATTTACAAAGTGCGTAACACTGGTTTCCTTCCAACATATTTTTCATGAATCTCAAAAGTTCCTCGCTAAGCTTCCTTTGGATATGTGCTAGGTAAAGAGTACTGCAAAGTTAGTTAATAACTAACTAGTTAGGTAATATGCACCATTTGGGGTTGAAAACATGTCCACACTTGAAGCCAAAAGAGTTCTACTCCAAAAGACTTTAACAACTGCATTCAGTGGAATGGCTTGATAAGGAGCAAAAAGGAATGAGAAAAGCACACAGTTTGGCCCTTGGTTCACCTTGGTTGAGGGATGCTCCTTCAATGTCCTCTACCAGAGAGAAGGTGACTGCATCTCCATCTGGATCACTGGCCATGACTTGCACCTCCACGGGATCTCCCACGCGGGCAAGTATCACATTGGTTCCGTTGTCAATAGTTGGAGGAAAGTTTGCTGCATGGAAAAGAAAAAATAATTGTGTTTAAAAGGATAGAGACAACAATGAGCCACAAGAACTATACGTTTTGCTGCCTTCAGGACCGACCCTTGGTGATCGTGAAAAACAAAGCTTTCAGGAATGTTAGAGTTATGTGGTACTTGAACACAAAGTTGAGTCAGTGGCGAGACTAGGGGCAAAATGTCTTGGGGGACGACTGGAGATGCATGCTTTATTTAGGGGAGCACCAAAAACCAATTAAGTATGACTTGTGCCAAAAGTTGTGTTACTGTATTTCAAAAATTCAAGTGGGGGTATATGAGGGGGATGAAGCTTGGCTGGGGACGTACTTCCCCCAGCGCCTCCCTCTCCCCTCTTAGTTACACCTCTGGGTTTGTATAAGTTGTGTCTTGCCTATACGCAGAAAAGCTCCACTGCCCACTTGTCAGAGGAGATAAAAGATTGTACATTTTCTACACAGCTACAGCCCCAGAGTGCATCTCACCTAGTTCTGCTGCGTTCTGTTGGTTCTCTTCACCTTTGGCCATCGTTGCCATGCCGATGTCCATGTTTTTGGTCGCTAGGGAATCAAACAGGCACATGTCGTTGTCCCCGCAGGAAGATCGAATCTCGGCGAGGAATGTCGGATCATCTCTCTCTGCTTCAGCGATGAGCTCATCCAGAAACAGTGGGATGAAGGTCAGGTTGTTGTAGTCCGCCCAGGTTGTGTCCGACGGGTACAGGAAGAGGGAGGTTTCAGGCGTTGTCCTCCCTGGTTTCAAACACAATTTTTAAAAAAGGAAAATAAAACGGTCTTAACCAACCCATTGAAGGCCAGTATATAATGATGTGCAATCCTCTCACTGTTAACATCTAACAAAGGAAGTGTGATTCAATAACAATGGACGCTCATTGTTAGAGAACTGTGTTTTTTTGTTAGACCTTCTTAGTGTCTATGTAGTTTACTCAGTGTTGCTGGGGCATCCATCACACGTTCCAACCAAATTGAATAGAACTTATCCAGTCAAAGTCAGTTCATGAGCTGTGTACAAATAAACTGCTGCGGAAAGCCTTCCTTCAATTGTTCATTCCAATTGCTTGCGGCTAAACTTGGAAACTGACTTTTAATATCTTTGCGACCAAACTCACAGTGGAAATGTTACCACGTGGATTCTAATCTCTATTTTCAAGTTGTGGATGGACTCCATCCCATGTAATACTCTCAATACTCAAACTGGGTGCAGAAAAATGTTGCATGCACATTTTTCATGCACATGCATGTCATGCAAATCAAGTTAAACATTTGTCTTTCAGAAATATACTATGTGGTATATATCATCACGGCCTGATTTGAAAAATATGATTTAAAGTTTGGATATCCACACAAAAACTTACAAGTCTCTCCAAATTTAAAGAAGTCTGAATCAGTGTAGTTGCCATCACTGCCAGAGGCTGTCAGTAGGGTTTCATTGCGTTTCAGGAAGTCATCAGATGGGTCACCATTCCACACTCCTGAAATGTGAGCAAAGGGGAGTCAAAATTCCATAAAGTTCAGTATGGTGGCATCTATCATTTTGAAAATTATCCAGCAAGAAAGGAGAAATAGGAAGTCTGGAGTTGAAAGACTGAACTGGTTATAGGGGTTTGCGCCGGCAGTAATTACTGCCTAGGATGTATGGTAGCAGAGCTTACTTCCTCCGCGTTTGCGGATGAGTGCACACAGCCTTGGGTCTGATTTTAAGTTTACTTTTGTCTGAGTCCAATTTTCCAAGTCCAAATTGTTTAGTTCGAGCCAACCTCCAGTCCAGTGGTGAATTGCTTGTTACAGTAGATTATATCAAATCAATTGACAGAATGATGGTCAGAACACAGAGATGACTAAGATTAAGTGAATGTTTCACCCAGCAAGGCGGATGCCAACCCAGTCAGGTACAGGCATCTTAAAGAGATTTATCACAGGGAAAATTTGATGCATGATCAAACACACACTACTACGTGCTCTTTTCTGTGCACTGGGATCAAGTCAGACAGGTTATCCGAGTCAGCCACTAGCAAAGCCTGATCGAAGCTGATGAGTCCAAAAGGTTTCAACTTTGATGCAAGTCAACAGTCCAAGAAAAGTGGGTTTGAGTCCAGACTCATCAACTCACCCAGCAGCCCACGACTAGATCCATTCTTGTACACAGCTGGAGCAGACACGATGATGTCCAAAATCCCCAGACTGATCCCAACCTCCATCGACGTCCCCACCGTCCAGGTGGCTTGGTAGCGAGTGTTATTGTTGGCGTCCAGCTTCTGTGCGATGATGCAGGAGGCATTAGGAACCTCGTACACATCTGGGGAGATATTGCACATGAATGTGGCGACATAAAGTTTATAAATTTTGTTATGCTTTACAAAAAGGGAGACAAATGCAGAGGTGCAACTATAACATTAGGACTACATGCACTGGTAAGCCTCAGAGAAAGAAACCTTACATTGAACATTCTCAATCTGCCCAGACATTTTGCAATAATACAAGTGAAACCCTGCATTTCTATTTCACAAAAAAAGTTCCAGGTAAACCAGAGTTAGGAGAGTTATCCAAAATTGAATTCTACCTTCTTCAATTAAGGTCTTGTTGAAGAGTTCATCATTGACGAATACGTCAACATCTGTGAGATTCTCATTGGCAACCATCTGGACCTGCAACGTTAGGTAAAGATACTTCAGAAGGTGTATTTGGGGCTATGAAACAGAGAATAACTGAAATTACACAACAATCCCCCAGTATCTGATCAAACTGGTTACACTATTAGTTCTTCTCCAATACACCATCTCGCCACTCAAAAGAGAGAGCTTTCCATGGTGATCAAGCAATTCACTTCTCCAACATACACTGTATAACGTTCTTAAACGGCTTGAGAGTCCCCTGATAAAGAACTGAGTTGAATGTGAAACTGAGACAGCGTTAATACATAACTGAGAAAAGTGAGGTCATGCACGAACAATATCACAGCAAACTCCAACATCAATAGCTTGTACATGTACATGTGAAGTATCGTTGGATACTGGCTGTAAATACAGACCCATGGTTATAACCTCCGGCTTGTGTATTAAACATACAGAGAATAACAGATTCCACAACACAGTAATTATAATCAGGTCATTTCTCTGAGTGTTAAGATATTTTGTCCCTCTTCACCACTAAACCCAAGGACAGAAAGAAATTAAAGTAATTGATACAAAATAGAAAATGGTTTCCAGGCAATTTCAAGTGTTGGCGCGAGTGAAATTAGTGAATGATAATTGAGAATGGGATCTGAATACATTCATTACCTACTGCTTGATGGGAAGCATGTACTGTACCTTTGCAGAATCATTTGCCTGGCCTACGAAGCCAATAAACTGAGTGGCCTGTGACAGCTCTCCGGTCTTGTTATTCCAGGCACGCATGGTCCTTCCCTGGATCTCAAACAGAGCCTCCCCGTTGCTGTCGGGCAACAGAAACTGTGTGTACTCCCCAAGGCCATTGAAGGTGTACCCTACTCCGTCCAAAGTTGTGATGTGAGGATCGCCCATCATCCAACCTACCGGCCAGACATATCAAGAAGATACAAATACACACACATATACATGTAAGTGTGTAAACGCCTTCAATCGTAGACTCCCTATTGTTCCTCTTTTGTCCATACTTTAATTTTTTCGGAAGACCTCCCATATGTTTTGTACATGTTTTCCAACCATGGACTCTTCGGCAACCGCAGACCCTATTTTCTCCTATTGTTGTAGGTACGATTGAAGGCGTTTACACACTCGCACACACCCCCATGTTGGACTTGTGTACTTGCACGAGTGGCATACATGTAAATAACTGCTGTAGAATAGTTATGCTTTACTGGAAAATATTTTCTTCTATATTTCTTTTGTTTTTCCTTCTTTCTTTCTTCTCTAGTCTTTCATTCTTTACACTGTCCAACAGCATTAAACATTGAAACTAAGAAAAAAAAAGTTGTGGAGTTTGAGAAAAGAAATAGCAGGGATAAGTAATGTCCAACTGAGTTCTTTGCTATAAAATGAAACTCAAAACACACCTGTTGTGGGAGGTAGGTATCCACTACAACTACCCTTCGGACGCTTTTCAAAGTACATATCACAGAAGGTCTCATCATTTGCTTTATCACAACAGTAAAAGCGTGGGTAAAAATCCAAAACTGAAGAGGAAGAAGACAATATGGATAGAAAATGTACAGTGGAATTGTGGTTACAGTGCAACAAATGGATTTAAAAAACTAATAGCAAAGAATACTGCCAATTAGCCCAGGTTGGACGTTGTCTTCATTTACACTACGACTGATGTCCAGGGTATAAAAGTCCTCCTACAATGCAAAATTTATTTTCAAAGGTTTTTTCTCACATTTTTACCCAGTGAAGACAGCTCAAATGTCATTCACAAATGGCTTGTATCCCAAATTCCATAAAATCTGTGTTGATATGCCTGCGGATAAGGTATTTTGAAGGAAATTTTGCGTAACGCAACACTTTCCGTCGCGATTCATTAACAATCTACTTTTGTCTAGTATACGTGTACTTGTAAATGCATGAAATGTGTAGTAAACGACTGCCCCTTACGCATGCGTGGAAGAGCTGTGAGTGTAAAGAAGTCGCAGATAAAGGCCGTGTCCGAAATGGGCTTCCAAAGCTACTAGGTCCGTTGTCTGTGAGTATCCACGCATTTCGAATGGAGCGAAGACCTAGACCTCCTCTAGACAACAAAACTGACAGAATGTGGGCCGAGCTTGAAGACAATTTCGCGCATACGCAAATGTGTATCACCAGATGAACACAGGTCATTCATGAATCGTGACGGAAAGCGTGCAATTTAGTTTCATAAAATTTCCAGCAAAGCATGTTGTTTGCAGGCGTATTTAGTAATTTCAACACAGCATTTATGGAATGTGGGATACAAGGCACTTGCAAATAATCATGTGAGCTGTCTTCACCATATAAAAATGTGAGAAAAAAAAGTTGAAAAAAATTTTGCATTGTTGGAGGGCATTTATGCCCCGGACATTAGTCGCAATGCAATGTAGACGACATCCAACCTGGGCTAACTCCCGATATGACTCACTGCATGTTTTGGAAAGGGATGTGAGTCAAGTGATCTGTCCAGAGGACAGATAATTTGTACTTGCATCTGGCAACATGATTATGGAAACAAAAGGGCAGAAATTATGCTTTGTACATTTTCATTCAAATATGACATTGACAGAGGAATAAGACAGCATGATAAAGGGCTGAAAAAACAAGATGGAAGAAGAAAAGAGAACGACTCTAATATTTTGCAATTATTTGGGCTTGAATTTTATCAACACTGGATGAACGTATGTACTGTTCCTCACAGACAGTTCATTTTTTCAAACAGGTAGGCTAAAAGTGTTAATATTTATGGCCACAAAGGACGACAATAAAAACCCATGACTAAACTGATTTAAAACTTCACATACAGCAGAATGTTACGAGGATAGTACACTGTGCTCACTACGGCAAGAGTGCTTGACTCATGCATAACTGCTACAGCTCATGCAAACCATTCTTGTATTGCTGCCAAAGCAATCTAATATCAGTTATATCATACCAATAAAAATGTCATCAAGCAAAGCATTTAAAGACTGATGCATGATTAGAAGCTGAAAAGGTGTTAAAAGTGTATCTCACTCGCTTACAACACTTACAAATCCAAAAAAGCCGAAGAAAGAAGTTAGAGCGTCTACCAATTCTTTCCGTTACACTGAGCTCAAAGGGTCCCTTGTAGCCTGTGATGAGCGACCGGTCTGCACGGTAACAACAAACCATTCCAGCACCTGCCCGTGTGGGAGGAAATTGAGTCCGGAGGCAGAATCCATCTTCTGTTTGAAAGACAATTGTGCACAATGAAGATTTTTTTTTTAATAATTACTATGTGCATGTATTTTTAACTTTCTGTTGGTTAGTTTTAATTGATTGTACTGTGCCTATAAGCAAATTATTTTGGATATATGGCGCTTTATAAATGCTGTTATTATTATTATTATTATATGGATGATAAAAAGTGGCAGGAACTGGGCGAAAAACCTTGGGCTGGAATCATGTGGACTACAGGGCTATCCCCTGAATAACGTGACAGGTTCAGTGCAACTCTTGGCTGTGCACACCGAACACATAAATTCGAGAAAATGAGACTGAAAGTCTCAAGTGTCAATATTCAACAATATAACATCTCACCCATACATTGTGTATCTTAATTAACTAGCCAAGGGTAAGACACAAAACAAGTGTTGACTCCTTTTTTGCATGGTAAGACAAGACTAGTCTCCTAACGTGATCTGTATTAGAATGATTTATGGATAAATATCAACGGGCCAGTCTTACTGCACTCTGTGATAAAGCAGTCAATACATGTACATTTGTACAACATGTTTGATTAGCAGTTGACAAACGGCAACTACACAATGAGAAAAGCAGTCAATTTAAAATTGAAAATCATGTTGCATTTCAGGCACACACCGTGGCTGCAAAATAATTTAATCCAGCTACCTCCCTCCACCCTCCAAAGGTCAATCTTATGTGAATTAAACCATAAAGCTTACCTTCATTATTTACTGCATTCAGGACAGCATCAGAGAGGGGCATGCTGGATCTTGACCCATCAACACGTCTTGATCTACGGCGACCGTACTTGCTATCCCTGCCTCCTTGTGAGAAGGCACACGGGCAGGTTCCTAAATATCTATTCCAAATCCTTGGGTCTGGCTGACGGTTATACCACCATCTGCAGAAGCGTTTCGGATTGGTGACCCTCCGGTTATTCGAATCCAGCCGATACACCCAGCGGCCCTTGAGGCCAGTGTTTCCGATCAGTGAGTCTGGCCGGAACTTGTCGGCGATGGAGGTGAACGGGCTTGCCTTCTGGGAGTTGACAAAGAGACTCCTTCCACTTCTGAAGCCAATGATGACGTCAGTGTCAGAGAGGGCATTGTAGTTCCACTGCATCTCTCCCTCGGGGAAGTTAACGACGGCAAAGCTGTAGTCCCCGTCAGTGACCAAGGCCACTTGGAATGTGTTAGTATTCTGTGTCAACAAATTTGAGAGTGTTTGCGTACATTCTAAGGAAGAAATTTACATCTCGGATACATGTGATTTCTGCACCACTGGACAGCATGTGCCCATATTGCCGTGCACAGACACAGTGCACTTCCTTTGGCTCATCTTTTTCAGACTCCAAGGATAGCTGCTATGACATATAAGCGAGCTATGTTTGTATCAAATTTTCCTAGTTTTTGAGAAGTATTGGGCAATGGCTTGACAACTTGTGCCTTTTTTTAATCAATACACCTAATTTTAAAATAAAAAACACAGGAAAGAGCCTATGAGAGCCCCAGCAAGGCAGCCAATTGTGACCAAGATTGTAAGCCTATGACACATAATGAAATGCGTGAGTATATTTGGACCTCCAAGTTGAAGTGACAACTATAATTAATTCATCGGGTGCCCAGAAAAAGGTCGTAAGGGTGAAAAACGGGTAAAAGGTCAAATTTAGTGTTTTTCTTTTAATTGATAGAGCATTGAAAGGCCTTTCATTTGGTATACATATTGATTCAAAGTGCTACGTCTTCAGACATAAGTAACAGAAGGAAAAGGACGGTAGGTGGTTTTACATTACTTTTGCCAACAATGTTACCATGTCATACTAACGTAACAAAATATGCGATACAGTCCCACTGAAGTGTAGATGTAGTCAAAGTCTAAACCCAGCAAAAGGTCGCTAGGATTGTTACCTGCTGTTTTAGTGCACGTTTGGCATGAGGAATTCCTGGCAAAAGGTTGTTAGCATAAAATGTAAATTATTGTTAAAAATCAAGTTTTTTTATCCATAAAAATGTCAAATCTTATTTTTATCATCAACAAAATTTCATCTCTCTAGAATTCAGACTTGTGTGACTTTTTGTACAAATGGGAGCCCAAACAATTTTTTTACATTGATTATTTCAAAAATTAATATTTGCGTGCCTGGACTGCCAACAACCTTTTCCTTGGCACACGATGAACTATAGTTCAACTAACACCGCACAAACAATGGATGGTTTGGACTACCTAGTCGACCATTGGGGACAAGGCCCAGGGGTATGGTCACAGCGCTGGTTATCGATAGCCGATTCCAATTATCATTACAAAGGGAAACCATTCACATTAGATCAACTGTACGAGATATCATTAGCCATGAAAGCTACAAGAATCGCAGCCAACTGTGACATGTAACAATGAGATTTTAAAAATTGACTGACTATGGTTGTTGGAGTGTAACTGAATTGCGCATGCGCAATTGACTACTGGTCAATCTATAGTTCACGCCTAAGCTTGCCCCAAGATGGCCCCTCATAAATTCCTGTCCCTCTTCTTGATACACTTTTATACTTTATGATTATCCACTATCCAGTTAGCTTAAACAGATCGGTGCTTTAGATAATCATATTTGAATCCAATACACACATAAAGTTTACTCCCAGGAAATCTAAGGAACATCTTTAAAATGGAGAAATGGTGCATGTTTTTTCAATGTGAATGACGCACAAGTTTGTTCTTTTCTCCCTCAACAAAATTCTTCATGCTTGACCAATAACAAAAAAGGACATATGTACATGAAAAGTTATGAAACAAATAAGTTGTAAACATGTTCCACTTGGCCAGAAAATATCTGCATCATTTAAAGTTCCAAGTCACAGAGTTTAAGGTACATTAATCCCTTTTTAAAGTATTTCTTTCTGCCATGAATCCACTTGTTCAAAGATATTTTTAGAGCTTTATAAGGTCTCTTGCAGATCTATCTAGTCCATTTTACCTAAAACCGTCACTTATGGTAGCAAACAAACATGCACATCAGCTGAGGGTTTGGGGTCATCGAGCAGGCCTTTATTTGTTGGAAATTTCTTTGACATCTCAAGTTTTTCAATATTCGAGTTAGACTCAATCACCATGACGATGCCAATATGTAAGTGGCAGGCATGAACATTTGTGTGAAATTGTCATAAGCAAATAGGAAGCTCAATTGTTTCAATGCACCTGGATAGCATGTTTCAGTTTGTTGTGAACTGTTCAAATTTGATACAATCAAACATTACTGTACAAACAAAAATAAGTCACAAAAATCATCGACCTCTTAAAAGCAAATTCTACAACTTCTGCGATAGAGCAAACTTTCCCAAAGCAAGGATGTATTGGCAATATCAATCTGCAAACATTAACCCTAACCCCCCAAAGGTTGCTGGCCCTAACCTTCCCCATTCACACAAAGTTAAACACCCATATGGGACTTTGT